ATAAGGGATCCCAGTCAGTTCTCTGCTGCCACATAATCTATTCTACATAGTGGAGATAGGCAATTTATGGCCTGTGGGCTGCAGCCAGCTCGCCAGAACATTTATTTGGCCTGTCCATAGGCAGGGTCGCAGCCCCAGAATTATTTTGTTTTACGAGCTGGTTACTGAGGACAGTGTTTTAGTGCTCATGCCTCATACTGCTCTACTTGGTTCCACTTTCCTTACACAGATTCCAACTCCGCCCCACCCCACCTAGCTCCAGTTACTGCATTCCCATCAGCTGATTATTTGAGAGCGGAGAGCCAATCAACTTCTGGCCAAACCTCCACCCCAGCAGTAGCAGGGCACACCTCCGCCAACGGGAGGAAGAAACCAGAGCTGGGCGGCATGGGACGAAACCAAAGCCTGTGTCAATGGGGAACAGAACAGGAGTTCATAAGCTCAGTCGTAATTACACTCACTGGCCCAACCACCTCTGTCATTCACATAGGGAAAGGGCACCACCCTACGTCACCCAGCTCTGGTTACTGCCTTGCCATTGGCTCCCGGCTCCCACAGCCAGATTGTGGACAATCCCCCTCCACTTCCAGCAGTGGGCAAGGCACGCCTCTGCCAGTGGGGAGTTAGTAACCAGAGGTGGGTGGCTTAATGGCAGAGTGCTTTCACTGCGGGCATGATGGACGGATGGATGGGCCAAATTTGAGTGGCACTGAGACACAACACGTAGGCTCCACCTCACATGGTGGAGCCCAGGACCACTACAGAGTGCAGGCAAAGTCTCAGAGCAGCAGAGGGGGGAAAAAAAAAGTTAACAGGTTTTTATTTCCCATTATTTTCATTTATTAAACCCCAGATGTTTTGCACACTGGAAGAAAGGTTAGTGAAATATTTTTGTTTAAATTTTTTGGATTTAAGAGTGCTACAAGGGGCTGTTATATTTAAGAACTCTTCAGTTTTACACTCAATACATGGTTTATTGTAAATTAACATGCTGTATGGTACCAAATGCAATATTTGTTATGCAATATTGCCCTCTTAAAAAGTTGTATGGCCTGCCAAAGGGTCTTAGTGGATTTAAAGCTGCCCATCCATGCTACATATGTTTATACCACACTCCTCACCATAGTATCTGAGTGACTAATAATCAAAGCCGTGTTTATTCCTTGACTGCATAACACATATATTAAACACCAGAAGAGATTATCATAATAATCTTACCACCTGCATAACACAAGCCAGAGAATCTCATCTAGTAATTTAAGTCTAACCACTTTTGGTTTCAACAGCATATTTTATAGGGAAATTTCAAATGACAGAGAATCCACCATCTTCCTGGATCATTTATTCCAATGGTTAATGATCTGCCTGTAGCTGCTTCTTGCTTTCCATCTTTCCCCACAAGAGGGAGTTAATTTGATTACAATGCACTGGAGACAAACCACAGGAATCAGAGACAGAGTCTGGTAAACTAGGCTGCCTGCAGAACAATTCAGCAGTCCAAGGCCAGAAACTAGGAAAGAATATTCTGAGTGGGGCTAGAAAATGACAGGAGTCAAAACCCGGGAAGAAGAGCTGGACCATCTTGAGAACCTACTAAAAACTCATCCTCAGAAATAGAAATGGATTTTACATCAGAGTATTTTCATTTATGTGCCATAGCTGAACGAGGATGGTGATGAAGGGTATTTCACAGTGACAGAATAAATTGGTCCTGTAATGGAATTTGGTCCTGTTGTGCCTCAGAGTACAAAAAAAGGAACATGATGGACACAGAAATGCCATGTAATAATCCAAGAATAGTGACCTGTAATAATTTTATGAACACTATGTGACCTCGTCAGTGAGGTGAAGTTACTGTATGGCAGTAGTGTAGCCTGTCTCTGTATTTGCACTACCTTTCCTAGTACACACAGGAAGGCATTTTAGTCTTGCCAAGGAAGTTGCCAGGCCACGTGAAACTTCATGAAGATTCTGACTTGATTGTCGGGTTTGGATTGTAACTAAATCTCCATTTTAGTCCCAAGTATTTTTAGTAAAAGTCAGACAGGTCACGGACAGTAAACAAAAATTCACGGCCCGTGACCTGTCCATGACTTGTATTATATACCCCCCTTACTGAAACTTTGGGGGGTGGGGTGGGGGCTGGGAAGGGATGACAACCAGGGTGCTCCGGGGAGCGCTGCGGCTGAGAGCAGCATGTGGCCCAGCACCCCCACTGCTGGGGGTGGGGGAGGAGACGGACAACAACAGGCAGGGCTTGCAGGCTCCCAAAAGCACCAGTATGTCCTGCGGCCAACAGCAGCTATGGGGGTGGTGCCTGCATGCAGAAGGAACATGCAGAGCCGCCTGGCCACGCCTCCACCTAGTAGGTGAGGAAGGGACATGTTGCTGCTTCCGGGGAGCCCCACTGAGTTAAGCACCGCCAAGAGTCCTCACCCCCTCCTGCACCCCAACCTGCCGCCTCAGTACTGAGCCCCCTTCCGCACCCAGACCCTGCTGCTGCTGGTGGGGGAGTGGCACAGTGGCCCAAGACTGCCCCAGCAGTGGTTGGTGCAGCTGGCCCGGGGGCCACCCAAGCTGCTCAGGCAGCACCCGGGCCAGCCGCAACGGCCACTGCAGAAGTCATGGAGATCCTAGAAAGTCATGAGTACTGTGACAAACTCGCAGCCTTAATTATAACAGATAGGATCATAAATCATAGAATATCAGGGTTGGAAGGGACCTCAGGAGGTCATCTAGTCCAACACCCTGCTCAAAGCAGGACCAATCCCCAATTTTTGCCTCAGATCCCTAAATGGCCCCCTCAAGAATTGAACTCACAACCCTGGGTTTAGCAGGCCAATGCTCAAACCACTGAGATATCCCTCCCAAGCACTTTAGAATGACTCACTCCAACCTCGCAGAAAGTCAGCACAAAGAATGCCAAATGTTAACCTGTGGTACCCAGTGGAACCACATGCTTTAGTTCTGTTACTGACAGAGGAAGGGCTATGGGCACATAGGTGGTTATCCCATGTGCTGGGGAACGTGAGCTATGTATCAACTTGGGCTTCAGCACCTGGGATAACCACCCATGTGCTGATTTCCCGCAGTGCTGGCCATAATGCTTTCTTCTTGGCATTGGGAAGTTTGCAATCTTGAAACCTGAGGATGTAATGTTGCAATCTCTGGTCTTGGAGACAGAGGTCCTGGGGAACAATGGTGCTATTTTCTTTCTTCCCCTCTCAGTCTAGAGGAAGAGGGCCTCAGAATCAAATCCGGGACTGTATTTGGCTCAAGCTATCAAGGTCTTCTCAGCACTGTATTCCATCTTCCTTACATCTGAAAGTGAGGCTACGAAACTGGGCCAGACTCCTAAATTAGTGACTAAACTAAATGGTAAAAGTCTTTCAAATTAGGAGATGTCAAAAAGCAAAGGAATTTTATTTTTTTATTCCCACTTCCTGTTTCAGCAACTGGAAGTAAGATGCAGGTGTCATATCCCTTTACACAGTCTCACATAGCATGCTGAGTAGCTTGAGGCAATGGGGGAGGAGGGTCCTCCTAAGGTTGGCCTTTCTCAGCGTGTTCTAGCTTGTGATCTGTGCAGTAATATCCCCAAGAACAGGAATCTGTGATGAATACTCAGTTCACATTTCCCTAAAAGTTTTTGTTTTAAGCTGTCTGCAAACTCAGGCAGATGCCATTGCATCAGTTCACATTCTGTTCACTTTGGAATAGTCTCTTCACAATGGTAAGGTTTATTTTGAAGGTGATACCATGGAATTGCATTCCAGAATTCAAACTAAGGGTGAGGTCCTATCCCAAATCCCAAGACATTCTGAAGTTCATGGTAGCAACACCCAAATGAAATAGATCCTTTGAACAGAAAATAGTACGGTTTGGTCGGAAGTATAAATCTAATGAGGTGACAGTAATTAATGACAAATTATAAGGCAGGAGAGTTGGATCCTGCATTTTTTTTTTTTTTGGAGGCTGCAGAATTGTGTTTCCCTGTACCTCCCAAGAGTTTTTCCTCCACTCTGCTGAAACAATCATTGATAACAAAGTTGTTGTGTTTGGGGATAAAGTGCACACTACTGCCTTTTAAACCCTCTCCTCCAAAGTTATTCAGTAACATCTGAGTAGACTTCCCTTCACCCTACCGGACAGCAGCCTCACTGGCATATGATAAAGGTACAAAAACTGTGGAATGTCCTGCACTAATATCAGCTACATTAACCCAGGCTGTTTCACTGACATAATTCAGTTCAGCTTTAAATTATGTTGTTAGAAATCAACCAGAGTTGTCCAGTCACTATCTTCAATAACCTTTCTCCTCCTCCTAAAAGGAGCAGAGATTGGCTGAATAGTCAGCCAACATGCGCATATCAAGGGAAGGGTCTTTCAAGCAACAAATGAACCCGAGCACTTATGTAGAAAGAACATAATGCCCGAGGGAGAAGACATTAGCCCACTGTTTCCATATAGAAGACACATCATCCCCAATGGTCTTCACCAGCCAGGGACACACTGGGCCATCCCACAGTCCACAAAGGAGACAGCAGTTTCTGTATTGCTAAAGAATTTTACCCTATAGTGTTAGTGTATTTTTCAGATAGATTACTGACTGAAGTATGCTATTCAATGAACTCACACAATAAATATCACAAGTCTGAAACAAACTAAGGCTACCTGGTAGAGGGGTTCTCATTACAGCCCAAATATGCATTTCTGCAATATTTTAATTTGACTCTTTTGTAGACCCACAAGAACATGCTAAACTCTGAGTGAGAAGTCTTGTAGCTACAGAAAATTGCCTATCCACTTACAAAAGTAGATAATTAAAATAATTGCTGGAGTGACTCTTGCTTAGCTGCATTCAGCAACTCAGAAGATTTTTTTTTAATTAAGACATTTCTATTCACCTCAACACAATTCTAACGCTTGCGAAAGAGGTCTGACAGTGACAACTTGAAAAGAGCTTCTAAAATTTGTTTAATACCTCTCAAAAGACATACCTGAGCTGAATTTTTGTCTACATAAATGTGGATAACTCCTCCATGTTTGTTACATTCCTCAATAACATCATCCTTAATTTCTGTATCCCAGCCAGCTTCTTCTTCACTGCCAAAGGAAAAATTCAAAAGTGAAAACAAAACCACGCCTCCAAAAAAAACTAATTTTCACACTGATTCCACTAATGTCAGAAACAAATGTGTAACAAATGGAAATAGACAGCAGGTAACTTACGTTTGAGGGTTAAACATATTGGAAAGCTGGAAGCATTGTGTTGCAAGTGGTTGTACAGAAGCAGCTGCAGCCAAGACTATTTAAAGAGAAAGTGACATGTTTTTCTGTCATTGAAGGAAAAAGTCTTTTACATAAAGTTTAATTTATAAGTAAGGCTTTTTCTGTCTGTGCTTCAAAATCACAGAACCACAGGACTGGAAGGGACCTCAAAAAGTCACGAAGTCCAGTCCAGTCCCCTGTGCTGTGGCAGGACTAACTAAACATAGAACATCCCTGACAGATGGTTGTCCAACCTGTTTTCATCATATTCAGTTACAACATTAATATTTTTAATCAGATGCGGAAATCAAAGGCATAGAGAAGTGAAGTTACATTCCTAAGATTAGACAAGAAATCTATGACAGAACTGGAAATAGAATTCAGAACCACAGTTCTTGATAAACTCCCCCCACAAAACCAAAAAAACTTATTCTTAACCTCATGGTAAGAAATTTGTTAAAATAATTCTTGGGAGCCACTCTGATTAATGTACCCAGACAGACTTGGAACCCAGGCATCCCTACTCCCAGCCTCATGCTTTAACTAAAAGACCAACACTTCTGAATATAATTGTAATTACTATACCAACTTACAAGAAATCAAAACAAAGTGTCTAAAAGAGATGAAGTTAACTTGAAACCAATCAATTTCAAAACCTGAGTTAAAAGTAGATGCTTGTACTATACTTTCAAGCCTTCCGAGATAATTTGTTTCACAATCATTTTCCTATATTTAATGAATCTCCCCCTCTGAAGCATTATAGGAAACAGCAAGTAAAAAGCTTAGACAGCAATAAGATTTTTTATTTTTTTAAACCTGATTGTCTCTAAAAACAAATTGGAATTCACTGACATTTGATGTATGTTAGAACACAGAAAATATAGCGTGCCACTGGAATGCATGCAAAAGACAGAATCTCAGAACTGTCCCATTTAAAAACCAGTGCAGTTTAGAACTATTAAATCTATGCCTAAATTCAGTTATCCATGATTATATTAACCAATTTAAACAAAAACATAAGTAACCAAATATCTTTGAAAAGATTTGCCTGTCCCAAGCATTCCAGCAGGGAACTGCACATCCTGCAGCTCAATTTTAAGTAGAAGAGACAGTCTAATGTATAAACCAAATGACAGCTCCATATGGAGACAACAGCACCATTCACACTTATGGTGATAATGGAACCATGGACAGGCAATAGCGAACTCTGAAAATTCATTAATATATTTAACTAGTTATACTATAGCAAAAATACAAAAATTTGCAGTTTTCCTAAACGGCAGTGTTAAATATCAGTTTAGAAAGCTTTTCTGAGTAGTGAAAAGGGAGGATATGAACATTTTACCTGTAAGTTACCGAATGTTACAGTACTGCGCTAGGAATGGTTATGTCAGTTTGACTAAAACCTAGCAATCAGTAGCCTTCCAGTGTGGCTGACTTACAACAGCCAATTGAATAATTGCCCCATTATAAGTTATTCTTTGAAGTTAATTGAAATTTACGTTTTATTCAACATGAAAAAGGAGTCAAGAGTTCAGGTTATCATTTTGAGAGCTCAACTCCCTTTCTAGGTCTGTGGAAGTTTTCAGATGAATAGTGGGGTTTTGTGACTTGCCCAAAGTCATAATAAATGCATGATTTGTCTGGGAATAGAACCCAGGAATCCTAACTCCCAGTTCCCTTATTTAACCACCCCCTCTAAGATATATAGCTAGAAAACTGTATTTAATTATTAATTTTTAACAAGAGTTGTCTTAATAGTGCAAAATTTAGGAGGTGTCAGGAATACTAGGGTTAGGTGTTATATATATCTATATCTAGAAAGCAATATATAAAACCAATAACTTAAAATGTGGGTTTCCTATAGATACCAATAAAACAGCATTTCTTGGGTGCTGGAAGAACTTTCTACACAGATGTAAAGTGCTTCTGGTACAAAGAACCCACTTTTGCAAAACCCATTTGCCAACAGTAAATGTTAATCCAACCGTACCTTCATTCTGCTGGGTAAGTCTGGTTTGCAAATCTAAAGAAAAGAATGTATAGAAAATTAAATAAAAACACTAAACACTAGATCTTAACTGCCCACCTAAATCTAGGTTGGGCAAGATCTTCATGCAGATACACAACACCTCCAGTCTACTTCTATTTCTTCAGATAGGAGAATAAAGATAGCTTTGTTCCTTCTAATTTATCACATGGGAGGTGCTCAGATACTAGTGACTAGGAGGACCTATAACTACCTAGACAAATATTCTCCAAAGAGGTAGCATTCAATTAATGGACAGCAAAACAAACATGAAAATTCTTTGGTCCACACACTTTACCATAATCTGTTCTATTTATCCTCTTGATAAAGAACAATTTGGACACCAAAGTAGTAGAGAGAGCAGTTTTAACAAGCATTATACACCAACTATTTCTGTACTAGTAGTTTTATCTTCATTAGCTGGAATCTTCAATGTAATTTAAAAATAGAGGTTATCAATTTTCATTTAAAAAATACAAATAGATGTTTCAGCTAGCAACCTTTTCTTAGCACAGAAGTCAATGCTGAACTATTACTTCAGTGCTTTGCAAGTTCAAAATAGTCTGAAAATATCTAAATAAGCCTCGAAGTATAGTTATCCATTTTACAAATGGGGGAAATGAGGCAGAGATAACATGACTTTAAGCATCACTACGGAACGCAATGACATTGCCCGGATTAAATTTGACGTTCAACCTACGCCTCTTTAAATCAGCAGGAATGGTAAACTGTGGGTTGCAAGTGATGTAAATATAACTTCCAGCTTTCTTCCTCCTGCCCAGATCTTCCATTAATTCACACAAACACACAAAAGGGAATTGTAATACTTTAAATGGGTGAGAATGGACATTTCAGAGGAGGGTGCATGAAATCTCAGATCTTGTTTTATTTTGTTGACTAGTCAGACACTTCACTATCTCCTCATAGAACAGTTTTTGTACACCTAATTATTTATGTCCCGTATCTGAAAGTGGTCTTATTGCAATAGGTGACCAGAACTCAACACAGTGGTCTAGGAGAGGGATTTATATGACTAGCATTTTCTGGATTCATTTGCTCTTCCAACCTATAACCAGATATAGTGCACTCATTTCCTCTACAGTCTGCCCTCATCCATACAGATATTCACTTTAGGCCCATGTACTGATTAATATATGGTTTGTACATAAAAATGAGACTAGAGTTAGGTTGTGAGTAGTTTTGAGGATGTGTGTGTACTGTAGTTGGCTTTATGTTGAAAGTGCAAAGAGGTTTTAAGAGGTGAGGCATCCAAGTGTGCAGTTATGACACTTGTATGAACGAAGACTGCTTTCCCTGGAGTTTTAGCGATTTCATTCATTGGAAATGCAATGGAACAACCTTAATTTTGTTTTAAGTAAAAAAAGAAAACAAGGAATTCCCAGGTTTCTAAATAAATATAGATCAGTGAAGATATTCACATGACAGCTATCAGGATTGATCTGTACTATTCTTCCCGTGTCCTATTGTCCACTGTGAAGTCCCACTCCCTTTGTGATCCCTCGCACAGCTTCTCACTGCACTGGCATCCCTTCACAATGTCCCTTGCATCACAAACCAGTTACTTGCCCAAAGCCCCAATGAAGATTAGGTCCTCATTGGTGCTGGAAGCTGTACACAGCCCACTTAGGAGACCACCCAAAGGACACAAACAGACAAAGGATTGAGGGATAGAGTATTATGCAAGTAAGTGAACATGGCAACTGGCAGTTTTGTTATGTTTTTTGCTTTTTTAATATAACTATTTTAATGGTAACAGATTGGATGGGGGGAAAAACTGGAATGGAGATAAGAGTAAGGGAACAGAAAAAGTAAGGGGGAAATGGACAGTCACAGTTCCTCATCTGCTTAGCCATGATGAGCAGGCAGGGTTTTCTTGATATCACAGCCAAAGTGAGTCTTGAGGAGGAGAGAGTTGAAGGGTGATATGGTAGTAGCTCTTATTTGAGAGTCTTCCCCATTTGACAAACTCACTGGGTGGTAAAAGGCAGCATGTAGATGAAATGAAGGTAGATGTCACCAATGTAGTAAGTTACTAGATCATAAGGTAGGGCAAAGCTAAGTTGTGAAGAGTCTTAAAGATAAAGAAAAGCATATGTATAATGAAGAGGTGAAAGGGGAAGATAATGGAGGGTCCTGAAGAGGACTGATGTGGCCAGGGCAAAGAGTCAGAAAGATAACCTTAGCAACATTTTGTATGGATTTTTCAAGGGTAAGGTTGTAGTAGTCAATGCTAGACAAGAAGAGGTTGCAAATATCAAGATATAAAATAGAAGCACATGATTGAGAGATTTACATACATGGATGGAGAGGAAAGGTTGGATCTTTGAAGTGTAACACAAGAAACTAGATTTAGTCATGACTTGCATGTGCAAACCGAGAGGTCAGTCGAAGACATCCAGGTTACAGACTTGAGAAGGTGGCACAATAGTATGATTGTACACCGTGATAGAGCTCAATAGCTCAGTTTGGGACTTGTTGATTTTAAACCCTGCAACTGAAATCCATGAACAGGAAATGTCAAAGCATGACTATGGTAATTCCACATTAATAGGATACTACTGATCTGTGCCTAACAGCACAAAAAACAAGTTGTTTCTCCACTCCTCTCACGAGAGAGGCAGTGAGGACTCAGATTCCTAAGAATTATCTAATCTGTACAATGCGCTAGTAAGCGTACTACAGTATATTTGCAAAACAGCACAAACTGAACCACATTAAAATAAATGAAGAATACATTGTGATACGTTATCCTTATTTATGTTTGTAGATTTGCAGAGTTGAATAATTCACCATGACTGGGAGCTCTGCTGTGAACTACTATAGTTCTAATGTTAAATCACAAGATATAAAATATTTTCACCTCCCTTGAAGATATAAGCATGCTAAAAACAACATGCCAAAATAAATGGATCCTCAAATTCTTACCTGCCACAGCACCAAATGCTAAAGATCCACTCATCTGCAGAGCCTGTTGTGCAGCTGGGGGAATCTGCAAACCAGTACCTGCGATAGAAAGTACTAGTCTGAGTTCACTTGGTAAGTAGTCTACGAATTAAGTCTTGGGAAGTAGTCTAGCTTAAGAATCTTAGCGTTCTCAACATTAAAGGAAGTGAAATACTTCCTACTAAGTTAACCCCAATATTTTCACATAACCTATATTACCACACTTACCCTCTGCAAGTCTTGCCATCAACTGTAGACGACCAGTTGTTCCCAAGTCAATTCCAGTCCTTTCCAGTTCATCACTGTCCAAAAATGAACTAGCACTGGAAGCATCAGTGCGTTCTGTTACATGACCTACTTTCATTGGCCTGCCAGCTAGCTCAAATCCATTTAGTTGTTCCAAGGCTTTTTTGGCACACTCTGAATCTGAGAACTGTAGAATTATACATGGTCAGTGTCTAGCAAAGTTCACAAGGTACTTTCTATCAAACGTATTATCTATAAGAATATATCTGAGACACCTTTAACTTTAAAGAAGCAATTTAGGGATTTTTTGTTGGCATATCTATTCAATTTTTTAATGATCATCTTCTGTTCTAGGCATCTATTCCACAAATTAAAAATTCCAACATAAATCAAGGCCATGCCTTCAGCTTTCCTTCAGTGAGCGGTCAGGAATGAAGTCACTTTTCTTGGGTCATGCCCTTGTCTTGTGATCTCAACTACTGTAGCATGCTTTACATGTAGTTATGGGCCAGTCAAAGCTTCAGGCAGTGCAGCATGAGGCTGCATGTCTACTTAGTCAGGTGTCAGCCACAGAATGCACATATAACAGTTACATAGTTGTGGTGATTCCCCCCATCTGTTTCCATGTACAATAATCCAAACTTGGCTAACAGCTGAGAGCTCTTCCTTCCACCACATATTGCTGTGTCAGTTTAAACACTAGATCTTAGTTCCCAGTTTTGAACATCTGCGCCTGGCTAGATGTGCTCTCCTTCAAAACGCCTAGCCTCTGCCATTTGATTCCTCCAACAAAACCTAAGTCTGATGACCTTCAGGACTTCGCGCAAAGGCCTATTTCCACTCAAGCTTTTCCTTGAAGGGGTGGTGACATAGCTTACTGAGGTAATTGGTAATACTGGTCATGTGTGAGTTTACTTTGTTTTTAAATACCGTACTTAATCGCCAATTTGTTAATTAACCATCTGTGATGCCACCAATCCAGGATTGGAAGACAGACTAAAGAGACATGCCCCAAGGGTTGGGATTGTCTAAAGTGAATAAAATATTTCTAACATACAGAGTGATCTGTGTTGCTGTAAGAGTGCTTTAAGGAGCTGGACCACAAAGAGCTAGCTCATCCTTGGAGAAAAGCAATCGGGTTATACAAAGCTCTTTTTTGTTTAAATCACATAGAAGCCATCTGAAGAAGTTTTCTAATCTCAGTTTAAACCTCTGACTCTGGGCAGTTTGTTTCTGCCTGAGCTCTGAAATGCCCATGTTCAATCAGTGGGATTTTGGGTCACCAACCTAACTCACAACTCTGCTAACTTATTACAAGTCAAAATCTTACCGTAATAAATCCATATCCTTTGGAGCGTCCAGTTTCACTATCCATCATCAGTTGAATGCTTTCAATCTAAAAAATGAAAAAAAATTAGACTATCACACATTACATCCCATAAAGACAAATGAGCAGTTCAATTTAGCCTCCTCCCACACAAGTTTTTTGAATACATCACAAGTTATCGAACAAAAGCATAAAACAGCTGGTATAAACACATGGTCCATAAAGGAGCTTAAAAGCTTTTGCTGGAAGTTTTTTTACTCAAAAAAGGTGGAGCTGGTAAAAGCATCTACATTAGCATAAAGGTAACTTGTAATTTACTAAAAGTGAGACATGCAGGGTCCTCTGTTGAGTGCACCAAAACAGCCTCAGGTATGTTCAATTTATTTTTATGGATTATTTTAGGCTCCTCAGCCAGCCAATGGCTTCCACTCAGATGTGACCTCTTAGCACATACTATGATAGCACAGCCATCATCAATTGCTGATTGTTACATCAACTCAGATACAAGCAATTGCAATTTTGTACAATGTATCAAATTATAAAATGATGAGAATCTAGTAGGAGCTAAACTAAAAAAAAGTATAAACATTGAAAGTCATATCCTTGCCTGCTGCTATTTTGGGCAGTGAACAGAATTTCACAAGTTACTGAATTTTTGAAAAAAAAAAAAAACTATTTGCAAATAATCTGTAACCATAAAATATCAGATTGTTATACATCCGTAAAGGGGGGGGAGGAGGAATAATAAAGGAGATGATTTTAAAAACCCGTATCTAAATCTACATTCCATTTTCTTAAGTCTTTCTTGAAGACTTCAACCCTATCCCCTCCTGGCCTATACTATTCCTCTTATCAAAGCTTGATCAGGATAAAACAAAATGGAACACAATTAACAATTTCTTACAGTTCTCTGAAGGATATTCTTTTAACAAGGCTGCAACTTAATCATAGAATCACAGACTTTAAGGTCAGAAGGGACCATTATGATCGTCTAGTTTGACCTCCTGCACAATGCAGGCCACAAAATCTCACCCACCCACTTCTGTAACAAACCCCTAACCTATGTTTGAGCTGTTCAAGTCCTCAAATCGTGGTTTAAGAGACTTCAAGGTGCAGAGAATCCTCCAGCAAGTGACCCGTGCCCCATGCTGCAGAGGAAGGCAAAAAGCCCCAGGGCCTCTGTCAATCTGCCCTGAAGGAAAATTCCTTCCCGACCCCAAATACGGCGATCAGCTAAATCCTGAGCATGTGGGCAAGACTCACCAGCCAGACACCCAGGAAAGAATTCTCTGTTGTAACTCAGATCCCAACCCATTTAACATCTCATCACAGGCCATTGGTCATATCTTCTGCTAATAGCTGAAGATCAATTGATTGCCAAAATTAGGCTATCCCATCATATCATCCCCTCCATAAACTTATCAAGCTTAGTCTTGAAGCCAGATAGGTCTTTTGCCCCCACTGCTTCCCTTGGAAGGCTGTTCTAGAACTTCACTCCTCTGATGTTCAGAAACCTTAAATTTAAGGGAATATATGTACTCAGATTTTATTTAATAGGCATTTGACTAGTTAAGGAAGAATTTAAGGAGTAAAGTGTCCCACCAAGTAGTAAATACAAGCAGTACACAAAAATGATTTTTGAGAAGCTAGATAAGCAGAGATGGAAGTGGGTTGCAAATTACATTCATTTAGTCTTTTTAAAAAATACAGCACTCAGACTGTAGACTATTGCAGACATCTCTAAGAATCGTTATACACATGCCCATCTGTAACTTTAATTTGTGTGTGCAAAGGGACACATTTTAACAGTTTCATTATATAATCCATGCAATACACGAGTTATCTTAGTGTTATCCAAAGATTTAGCCCATATTTGTACATTACAAGGAGTTTAACTAAAAGGCTATGGTTATGAATTAGTATGCAATGAAAACAAATATGACTTTTTTGCCCAGAGTACCCACAATTTTAAATTCTACATTTTACTTGTTAATTTCAATAATTTGTTTTAATTTCCTTTACTCAGCATTAGCAAGAACCTTTCCTAGAAAGGGTTATGTTATATGGGTTGCTATTACAAAAACTACTCTGAAGAGATATGTTCAGTTTGAAATAGTTAAAAATAGAGTGTGAAGTCTCATTTATTGCACCTCCCTTGGAATTTCTGCCATGTTCTGTTTTAGGATCACGTAAGAGGAAGATTGGCCGATAGCTGGCGAGACACATGATCAAAGGTGAGTTTATGGTGGGAGAGACTAAAGCATGTTTGTATTACAAGAGGAAGAATCAGAGGAGAAAGGTGAGAGTAGGGATGAAAATGGTGGCAAGGAAGATCAGGAAACAGGATGAGAGCTGGAAGCGGTAACAGGAGGAGATCTCAGTTTCAGTGTTGACAGAAAAGGCAGGAGAAGTAAATGGAAGTGAGAGGAGGTCCCATCAGATTTCTAAAATTTTCTTTTGGAAAAAGTCAGCAAGATCCAGAGCAGAGAGGGAGAAAGGAACAGGAAGCGGTGGAGAAGAGGAAAGTGGCAAAAAGCTATCCAGGGTTGCCCAGACAGATACCTGATCTGGGGGGGAAGGGTCAGGGATCATAGACAGTTGGTCACAAATAAGATTCTCTGGTTGAGATAAAGCTTGGGCTTAGTATGACTTCTGCTGGTATTTGATTTTGTTGGAGATTTACAGAGTGAAAAGTTGTATCTTTTCCTTTTAGGGGAGAACACACAACTCTTGGGGCCAGGATGGAGGAGACAAATGGAACCCAAGAATACATCATTCAAGCTGTTAGCTACAATGCAGAAAGCATCAGAAGAGATTTATGTATACAGTTTTTAGAAACTGTCAAGTAGGTGGCTGACTGGATATTTGTGAGCTACTGAATGGCTTGTTTGGTATGTACAGGAAGTAGATTGTTGCAACAATTTGAGATTCCACAGCTCAAAAGGATCTTCCTGACTACCTCCTCAACCTCATGATCCAAAAAACGAAAGGGAAACATTTGCCTCAAAAGGGGAGGCAATCATAAGATCTGACAAACCATAGCTAGTTTAAGTACACAGAATTCCTTAAACATTAAAATGCGTCACCTAATCTTAGCTTGACAGGTTAGTCCCTGAATTCTCAGCTCTCCACATCACACCTACCTGTTCAATAAAAATGGTTGAGTATTATTGAAAATATCTTAATTTTAATACAAAATCCCTTATTTGTTTTCAGATGTAATCAGAATACTTAAACCCTACTGGATTTATAAACATGCACATACATATGAGAACAGGAAGAGAAAATTTTTGTAGATGTGGAATTTATATACAATCAGGATGCCCTTTCAGTCCTTTGCATTTATTATATGAAACAGGATCTAAAATAAGAGTAATCGCAACATGCACTTCATAACACCTCTGTCATCAATAAGAACTCACCCGACCAAATGGTTCAAAGATTCCACGAAGCATATCTTCAGTTATGTTGAAGTGTAATGATCCTACATACAGTCTCATGGGCCCAGCACTGCCTTTCTGTAGGTTATTGGCCATTGCTGCTGCTCTGTTTTTCTCTGCCTAGGGACAACAAAATTCCCATTGTCCGTAACAGCCTAAGTAAAAATCTACTAAATCTAGTAAATTCACTAAAAAGTGGAAGCTCGAAAACTCTCAGTAAAAATGGCTTGTATATAGGCTAACTTTAATAACTTAAATGCTATGAAAAGTCCATGCTCTTGATTAGAATTATGCAACTAGAAATATGCCTGAAATGGAATGAACTGATGTAGATTATTGGTTTCTCTAGTAAATAGAATGCAGTTTGCTTGTTAAATATGCATGACTACTACAAATAGGATATGTACTATCGTATAAGTCAGTTAACAGTCCCCTTCTTAGCCTTAATTCCCTCATTTACCCTCTACATATCACTCTGTATTGATTTGTCTAGTTTTATTTCGACTCAGTTTTCTGTGCCTGGCAGTAATTATTAAAACTGAAGCAACCACTTCAGTTAAGGTTACAGAAATGTTTCAACTGTAACTCAATTTTCAGCTATTCAACCATACAACAGTTGAAACAAGAATGGAGTCCAGCCATCCCATTCTCTGGCCTTTAGTGTGATTTGTGCTATCCCTTAATATAATTAACAGTAACAACATTAGTACAACTTTGGCATAAATATGGAGAAATTAATTTTGAAATGGAATATGTGTATCTCTGCAAATTAAGTAAGTCTCACTGAAATCAACAGTGCTTCAAGGATGTGTATATTACCTCTTGGTCAAGCAGCAGATGCTGCAGTATAAATGTTACATAATTCTATGACTAGTATACAACCAACCACAACTTACTTGCGATGCTTGTACTATGATTGGTACTCCCAGAACACGCTGTCCAGTTAGTCCTATTGCAAGAGGCACTGAACTAACATCAACAAATTCTACATAAGCAATTCCCTTGGAACGTCTTGAATTTCTATCAGAGATCATCCGCACATCACGAACCTACAAGAATGAAAATCTCAGGTTTATCATTAATCTCTATTTGGCACAATTAACTTTTATATAGTTACTAAGGGACTTCATGAATATGTACAGGAAGATAGCTATTGTTTGACTCAATACAGATGCTTAATGATTTCATAACTGTGTAATAACTCTACAGACTTGATGCACAGTCACACTACCTTCTAAACCAACACATCCCAAAAAAAGTTAGCTTCATGAAAGTCATCTTTGGACTGACAATTTTGACATAAAACTGAAGGTAGTAAGGAAAAAGGGTTGTAAATTCCAGTTTGTCAAAGTTGTTGCATCACTACAAATTTTCTAACAGCTCACCAGAAGGGGCTACCATATTAAAAAGGGACCGAAGCTTAAAATTCCATCTTATGCTGCAGACCCACATGCAAAGATAAAATCTTACTTCTTATTGCAACAATACATGGAGGACCTAATCAGAATTACTTCCATTGCATTGGTCACTGGACAAATGTAGGACACAGGCAAGTCCCCCATGAGTTAAAGCTCTGATTTTGCAAACCAGTCCGGACACAAAACTCCTAACTAAATATGAATTCCACATGCAGAGGATCTGCAATAGGAGGCCACAATTTTGTAGAGGGCTTCAATATTGGAAATGTCACTGATACTGCACACAAACAATATTTATATGCTCATTTAACCCACCCTCAATTACCTTTCCTACAGTAGAGAAAAATTCTTCCAAGTCTCTTGGCCTAATTCTTGCAGCCAACTGCATACAGAACACTGTTCGAGCATCTCTCTCTTCAGGGGTCAAATTATCAATTGGCTCTCTGCAAAAAAAAAAAAAAAGAGAAACTCTGTTCTGATTTAAGGCAACTCAGTTTGGGCAAATGCAGAATTTTATGTCATTTAAACCTGACAAGAAGTCAAAACATCTACCTAACTTTTTTATAAGTTATGAGCCAAGATTTAAAAAGAGAACCTAAATGTAGTCCTTTAAAATGATATTCACAAGTCGTACCACACAAGTATCCCCACTAACTTTAAAGGGAGGTGCTTAGCACTTCGTTAACAAACAAGTGCCTTTTTTTTTTTTTTTTAAGTTTATATTGCAGAACTGCCTAGAAGACTCAACCACATTAGGGCCCCATTGTGACAGGCATTGAATAAACACTGTAAACTCTTTGGGGTAGGGTTTGTCACTTTACTATATAAAAGACAATATGCAAAAGACAGAGAAGGTAAGTGGGGGGAGTGAAGAAACAGGTAACAAAATAGGATATTTTGTCACAGACTGTTCATTTCTTAAGACATGCAGAAGCAATGATCACAATAACTAGGGACCTAATTTTATACAATTATTTTTGAAGACACACAAGTGACTACAGCCAAGATTTCAGAGAATAAGAGTCCTAGCTGGCTGTGTGGCCATTTCACACAAGTACACTGACTATCACTGTTGTATCAGTAAGTAATGCCAACATGTCCATATACAGAAAGTCCCGATTGTTTAAACTTGGTCATGTGATATTTTAGTTTCAGCATTTGTTACCACCAAAAATGTAAAAAAATCCAAAAGATGCCAAGAGTAGAAGTTCTAACAAAACAATGAAGTAAACTGCTAACAGAATAATGGCTATAAAACTGAATAATTACTGTAGTCACTTGTCCTAGCAGCACTGTTTTAGTAGCAGGGAACATGTCAAAGTGCAGCGTGTGTTAGGGCTGCACCACTTTTTTTTAATTAAAAATAAAAAAACAGATTCTGAAGAATATGATTACGCCATGTAGACTTCATATACATTATACAGGGCAGATCTAGCCCAGATCATGGGTGTTTGACACCCATGTATTAATCTGACTTTACACACTGGAGTTGAACTTTCAGTACCACATTCAGTGAAACTAAGGGTGTGGAATTTAGGATTTGACACCACACGGTGTAAGAAAATAAATATTTAGGCTAAGTATGAGGAAAACCTTCCTGACAGTGAGATGTGTTAGACTGGGAAACAGTCACTCAGTTTCACTGTGTTACATACAGAGTAACATACTGTAGATAAAAATCACACACTTGTAAGTTGATGGACTGGATGACCAAAGTAATATTTTTCCATCTCAGCTTTTATGATTCTATAAATGAGACTCATGAGAAAAAATGAGCCAATTTCAACTGGGTAAACTATAACCTAATTCAAATAGTCTTAAATATGAAAAGCAAGGCAGGATTTATGCAAAACAATTTTGCAACAGTGAACAAGGTGTTTACAGTAATTGAATTTATTAAATTTTATGGATATTCCTTCAGCAGAAAAACAATATAGATTTCCCCCCCCAAGCCCTCCCTTCCATGCCAAGCACCATGGATACCTATATTGATCAGACAGATCAATTTGGACACTGGCAATCCTAAATCTGGCTTGCACAGAAAGTAATTGTGCAGTTCAAGATGCAGCATCATCTCACATAACATTCAGCATAACAAGACTAATTACAAGCTAAGAAATAGCGTGAAAATAGCTACCTAACAGGGCTCTTGTCTTTTCTGAATGGACTTTTGCTTCTGGAGCGCCGTCTGCTGTAAACATTAAAAAATACTTACTAGATTATCAAAAAAAAGTACAAAGTAGCTTAATTTTTAGTACAGACACTTAAATAGCCACAAAAATAGAAAACTCAGAAACCTTAATTTGATGCTGTGAGGCAGACCAATCTTCCCTCTGATAGCACTGTTGAATTTTGGACCAGAACTAAGGTAAAAACAAAGAAGAGCTTGTTATAAATCCAGTACATGACTAGGAAAAATATAGTATCCTGCCAACCTAATGCTTACTGACGTCCCTGTTTTTTAATTGTTATATGGGCACAAATACAGTTCAAGACAAGTAGTGCTAACTCAAGAATATTAGTTTGACACAAATTATAAGAAAAGGTTATCATTTGTTCATTCCAAGGATCCTCTATTTTCCTATACTTATTTTAATACTATTTCTGCATATACATATATGTAATTAGAGGCTTTAACACACATTAAGCGCAACTGTGAGCCAACCTCTTAAATAAACATCTCTTGTTAACTAAAGATATTCTCATCTACTGTTAGCTACACCGTGCCACCAAGTGGCAATGATGCAGCTCAGGCAGAATGCCATCATCCACAAAGATCACAGACTCAAAAACTGATTAGAAAACAAACTTTGAAAAAAAATATGCTCCACTGCTTGCAGACAGCTTTTTCATGGAACAGGTAGTCCTTAGCTACCAACTAGGTATCTTCCTTCTGGAATAGTTTTGTCCATTTTTTTCTACATACCTCTGTTTACTTCCTGCTTTGTGCACCAGCATCAGCGATGTCAGCAAAGCTCTGGGAATACAGTTTGTTAGTTAACGCCTGATGCAAGTTTGTTAGTTAATGCCTGATGCAAGCCCAGCAGGAAGAGGGTAGTTCATATTTTTTATGGATCCCATAAAAGTTTCTTTTTAGAAGCAACAGCAATAAACTTAAGAACCTGCACCCTACTGGAAACTATCATCCAGTTTTTTAAGTGTTAAACCTTCAACATGACCTGTTTTAACTACTATTAAGTGTCTTTTACTAGGACTTTAATAGATAATTTCCTTTCATCCTAATCCAAACTAAAAAGTTATTCTGATTTTATGCTACTTTTTTTCTATCAATTTTTAGTTCAATTTAATCAAAATATAGGTTATTTGCTTGTAGTTTAGGATAAAAACAAAATTACTATAGTAACTGAAATATATTACATTACTTCCATTGTTCTCCTTACTGCCTTGTAAACTGCAACATTACTTTGAACACTTGTTCAAAGTAAAAATTAAACTGACTAGTTTAGAAAGTACATAGTTCAGTTCAAACTTTTACAATATTGATGTGAAACATGCTCAATTGTACATTAAAATAACCTACTATGGGCTTCTATAGCGGCCTCTGAATCTACGTTCTCTACTTCTAGAGCGACTACGTCTGCGTTCTTTGCTTTTGCTGCGTTTCCTCTCCCGGCTTTTGCTCTTTTTCCTCTCACGATCACGGCTTCGTTTGCGCTCTTTACTTTTGCTCCTCTTCCTCTCATGACTGCGACTTCTGCTCTTGCTCTTTTTTCTCCTAAGAAAATACAACTTATGTTACAGATGTAAAGAAATCTCAATGTTGGCGTCTATCATTATGCATTAGCTTTCCTCATCTAATTAGTCCGTCTTCTCCCTGACAAACAATGTACTAATTTTATTTTCGCAACCTGTAATGCCACAGACACTAACATAGGAACAGCGACATCAGTTTTTATATGCTTGATCAGCCATTAGCAAAAGAGATCATTTTAGAACGCTTAAAATTTGAGCATGAATGCTCCCTAGTTTCAAGCTCTCTCATCTTTTGGCTTTGTAAATATTAAAAAATACGAGGCCTCCAAGCATGGTAGTGGGGCTGAATGTAAACTAGTACATATTAAATTCAACACTTCAATTACTATGTTGTAAAAGTATTTCCAATGAGCATCCAAGCTTTCAACATCTGCTAAGATGGAGAGTCAAGTGGGGCTGCCTTTTCATAGTAAAAATAAGGCAAAAAGAACAAATTACTTATTTTTTTTTATCCTGACAGACATCTTGAAATTTTGCAGCATTACTGTAACAGCAACAATATGCAACTGTGTTCACTTCCTATTAACTACAGAATTCCAGAAGAGCTGTTTAAATTTCACAAACCTGCAACTGTTCACTGCTTATAAACTAAAATAGTAGTTACTTTTCTAAAAGATCACCACTGTACACAGAGACCCAAACAAATATAGCTGGACCGAAAGGAGAGGAACAATAAGTCTGTCACACAATTCGATCCTTTCCATGTGTTTGGCTGCCCCTTCCCCCCAGAAAAACCCAAAACTTAGGCACCAGGAGCTGAAGACTGTCCTACTGTCTCCACAACAAACAGAACACTTCACAAAGCGATCACTCTATATCTGACCTATCAGTCCCCATCTTCAGAGGAAACCTGCATGACACTTTCAAAAGACGAGTCTGGGAGGTTAAATTCATAACTTTGCTAGACAAAAATCACAGACTGAATACACACACTGGATTTATGGCTTATTACAACCACCTATAACCCACTAACAACCCCCCCCTCCCCCAATGACTGAAGGGGGATTAATGAGCTGCTTCACATTGAATGGTCCCTTGAAATGTGTTAACTATTGATGCTAAATCAATCTGTCCCACCTTGTGTTTAGCTGTGACACTCCGAGTATGTTTCCCTGGCATGAAAGAGAGCTTGTGTAAACTTCTCTCTCTCTCACCAACAGAAGTTGGTCCAATAAAAGATATTACCTCACCTACCCAGTCTCTCTAATAACCTGAGAGCGACACAGCTACAACACTGTAAATAAAAGATGTGGCATTTTAAAGGACAGTCAACTTAAAAAAAAAAAATCACACTTTTTTTCAAGTTTTAGAAAAAAACAGACCAAAGTAAAAGTAAAACAGACTTCTTTAACAAAGAATATTTTTGAAGAGCTTTCTGTTAGGGCTGTCAATTAATCGCAGTTAACTCAAGCGATTAACTCAAAAAACTTAATTGCAATTAATCACAGTTTTAATTGCACTGTTAAAAAATAGAATACCAATGGAAATTTATTAAATATTTTGGATGGTTTTTTACCTTTTCATATATATTGTATTCTGTGTTGTAATTGAAATCAAAGGGTATATTTTTTATTACAAATATTTTCACTGTAAAAATCAAACAAAAGAAATTGCATTTTTCAATTCACCTCATACAAGTATGGTAGTGCAATTTCTGTCATGAAAGTGCAACTTACAAATGTAGATTTTTTTTTTTTGGTTACATAACTGCACTCAAAAACAAAACAAAGTCCACTCAGTCCTACTTCTTGTTCAGCCAACGCTAAGACAAACAAGTTTGTTTACATTTAAGGAGATAATACTGCCCTCTTCTTTTTTACAATGTCAACAGAAAGTGAGAACAGACATTTGAATGGCACTTTTGTACCCGGCATTGCAAGGTATTTAAGTGCCAGATATGCTAACCATTCATATGCTCCTTCATGCTTCGGTCACCATTCCAGAAGACATGCTTCCATGCAGATGACGTTTGTTAAAAAAAAAATGATGCGTTACTTAAATTTGTGACTGAACTCCTTGTGGGAGAATTGTACGTCCCCTGCTCTGTTTTGTTTGCATTGTGTCATATTTCACATTATAGCAGTCTTGGATGATGAGCCAGCACATGGTCATTTTAAGAACACTTTCACTGCAGATTTCACAAAAACCCAGAGAAGGTACCAATGTGAGATTTCTAAAGATAGCTACAGCACTTGACCCAAGGTTTAAGAATATGAAGTGCCTTCCAAAAATCTATGGGGAACAAGGCATGGAGCTTGCTTTCAGAAGTCTTAAAAGAGTAACACTGAGGTGAAAACTACAAAACCCGAACCACCAAAAAAGAAAATTAACCCTCTGCTGGTGGCATCTGACTCAGATAAAGAAAATAAACATGGATCAGTCCACACTGCTTTGGATTGTTTTCGAACAGAACCCATCATCAGCACAGACGCATGTCCCCTGGAAGGGTGGCTGAAGCATGAAGGGACATATGAATCTTTAGTTTATCTGGCAAGTAAATATCTTGTGACGCCGGCTACAACAGTGGCATGAGAACACCTGTTCTCACTTTCAGGTAACATTGTAAATAAGAAGCTGGCAGCATTATCTCCTGCAATGTAAACAAACTTGGTTGTCTGAGAGATAGACTGAACAAGAAATAGGACTGAGAGGACTTCTAGGCTCTAAAATTTTAGATTTTATTTTTTAATGAAGTTTTTTGTACATTTGTAAGTTCAACTTTCATGATGAAGAGACTGCACTTCAATACTTGTATTAGGACAACTAAAAATACTATTTCTTTTTTGTTTGTTTTTTTACAGTAAAAATACTTGTAATCAAAAATAAATATAAAGTGAGCATAGTACACTTTGTATTCTGTGTTGTAACTGAAATCCATATATTTGAAAATTTAGAAAACATCCAAAAATATTTAAATAAATGGTATTCTATTATTAACAGTGTGATTAATCGCGATTAATTTTTTTAATCTCTGACAGCCCTACTTTCTGTGTGAGCATTTCAAAACACTGTAGTCTGTTTCACTCTTTCCTCTTTTGTGGACCTTTCACTCAGCAAGAAAGGAGAGAAAAGCCATTGGGAGACAGGACAATTATAAAATCAAGACGAGAGATTCAACGCAAACATTTTTTAGAAATGTTTAGATTTTATTGTATCCTTTTAAAACTACTCTTAAGTTATATCTCAGTCATTACACCCTCCTACAATCCATGCTCTCTAATATCTTCATGAAACCACCGAGAACTGGTAAGAGAACACAGCTGAAGTGACAACAACATGGCCAGCTCTACATCTCCTTTACATCAGACAAAAAGTAGTCTCCCATCTTTTTCCACGCTTTGCCGAAATCAGCAACTGGACGAAGACCAACTGGCGAAAGCTGAACCCAGGCAACACTGAGGTGAGGATGGTAGTCAGAGGGAAGCACTTTGAACAACTCCACTCTTATAACATCCCCCTCTATCACTGGCATCCACCCTCGGATACTTACCTGAACTTGGGTGTCTTACTTCCACTGCTAATGAATGGCTATGTAGCCATCATCCTGACAACAGTCACTTGGATCTATTTACAGCCAGAAAATTGACCAAAGATTCGACGACTGATCCACAGTCATGACTGCTGCAACTATCACCATCCTGGTCAGGTGGTCGGTAATATATCCCTACTGCTATATTCTTATTATTAGAGCATGGAATTACTATCCATAGACATTCTGTGGTATAGTTTCGTTCATTTAAGATTTTTACTTCATTTGATTCTACGCTTTAGCATATAGTGCCACTTCCCCAACCAGCACAACCTGTTCTGCCCTTCCGAAATATTTTGTACCCTAGTATTACTATGTCCCATTGATTATCCTCATTCCACCAAGTTTCTGTGATGCTTATTATATCTATATTATCTCTAATGCTTCCTGGACTTCTCTCTCACCACTGTCCTCTCCCCTGGCCCACACCCTCAGTACCCACCACAGCACAGGACTCAGAAGAAGGCCAGATTGTTTTTACAAATGTTTATACCATGAACACCGCTCTTTACTAAAGCTCCCCCTCCCCTCCGTCTGCTTTCCTTTTCCTCCCTTTGCTTCCCCAGCAACAAATCCACCCCAAAACAGAAGGAATCTCTCAATAATGCCAACCAGACAAATCTAATTATCTATAAAATGATTTTGCATAGAAAGAGCCGAAGGTGGAATAGAGTAATACCCAGCTCTCAATTACCGCTTTTCATCAGTAGATCTCAAAACACTTCACCAACCAGGTCAGTGAATTAACTTCTATCTTAACTATGGAGCAACAGAGCAACTAACCCCTCTTTTTAAAAAACAAAAAACAAACAAACAATAAAAACCCCACACACACCCCATGCACCCCCTCCCCCACAACCAGGAAATAGTGAAACTAGCTATATGCAAAATACTGCCAAATGCACCAAGTAAAATGAAAGACAAGAGCAGCTTTAATCTTTAATTTACAGTAATCTTCGGTGTTATAAATAAAATCAGATAGAGGGAAGTATGATTTTTTTTTAAGTCGATAGTTGTTTGTACTAAAAGGACACTATCTTGGATTTAATCAAGGAACTTGCCTGCTCATTCCATTCTTTCATGTAATTAGGTGAAACTTGCTGTTTCTTTCTGTTTTAACAGAAATGCTACAGGCTCAATAGAAGGGGCATCAACCATAATGGTCTATTTTAAATTAATCATACTGGGTGAAAAATTGTTGTAGAACCGTTACTCAGAAGTGCTTTGGGGACCAAAAAGAAAACCTCGGAGGAGCAAAACCCACAGAAGAGGAATTTTCTCAAATAGCATATAGCAGCAGGATCAAAAGTGCAGACATGAAGCATGAATAAGAAATGAGAGATGCTGCAAAGTACGGACAGCTCGTCTGCTGCTGGTCAGAAGCAGTCATCAACCACTGCAACAGAACTGCTGACCATTAGCAACACATCCAAATGTATGAAATGACAAAGTGTGTCTCAACTGTTTCATCCTCTCCACCATCTTATTTACCTACATTTTCTGGCTTCTCAACATATTACTCTGACTTAGACAGAATCCCTATGAAACAATAATACATTTTCCTGTTTAATTTTCAAGCTAAAAATAATGCAATTAGGAAGCTTCCTCTCCATCCCCTCAAATGAAAATGCTACTACTCAAGGAATAGTACCGAACACTGAGTGGCCATGGATCCATCACTTCTACCCTCTCTTTCCCTCCCTCTCAAATACACTGCCTCACATTAGGCATTTTTTTTGAGTACATATGATCAAGCAGCATCTTCAACTAACAAAATATGGCCATCATTCCTAGTAGCTACTGCAATGTTTCACTCTCAACAGCAGCTGTTAAAGAGTTCAGAGCTTATTTCCAATGCTCTCAGTAGGGAAACTCCCCACCGTCCTTCACAAGTGTGTAGAACATGGTACAGAGCAAGAACACTGGGGAAGTATATGTTTCTGCACTTCAGAAAAACCCTTCCATTTAGCATTAGTCACTTTACTTCTCTGTACTGATGTTTCCCATCCCATCTTTTGACAATCTTATCTATTTAGAATGACTAAGTTCTTATTAGGCAGCGATGTCTTACTATGAATTTGGTCAAGGCATAATGCAATGAGGCCCCGCTCTAGGTAAGGGCCTCTTGGCACTACCATAATACAAAGAAGCTGCACATCCATCACCATCCAGCTACTGCTGAGGCAATAATTAAAGCAATACCTCTGTTAGAAAAGTGAGGAATTGGTTTCATTAATCCAAAAAAACAAAAGACCACAGGCTTGGTCATTCAGAATCTCATCGGGAGCAGAAAAACTTAACACTATTTTCCAATTTTTTTTTTAAACTTATCACTTAAGCTAATACCCAAAATTGTTACAACTAAGAACAGACTAAAAAACGTTTCCATATACTTTGTGCATTTAACAATATGGCAGTATAAACACTGTTCTGGTAGAACCATCCACAGATACAAAATTTGTATCTGCACCAGATCCGTGATTGGCAAACATGGCCCATGGATGCGGATATCCAGAGGATATCCACAGATTTGCCAGGCTTTAATAGTTGGGTTTGTTTTTTGCAGTAGTGCCTATATCCATGTGGCACTTTCCAGACAGAGAAGGCATGATTTCAGTTCTGAGAAAATTAGTCTACCCCCATCAGTGATTTTATTCTATTGTCCAGGAGTCTCTCACGCTGCAACAAGAAACAAACGTCCTAAGACAGAAAAACCTGACAGTAATACTCACAAAACAGACAGAGGATCTCAGGGACAAGTTTTGTACCTGAAGTTGTTTAAAAACTGATTAGATTGAGTTGAGTGTCCCTTTATTTCTCTAGTGTGAAAGAGGGATGGACAAGTTGCTGTTGTGCTATCTTACGTACAAAATGAGCTTTAAGAAGTCTTCTTACTCTTTGTCCAGTGAGGCAACGTTGGTCAAGAAAAACTGTGGCCTCAGATCACACTTTCACTCACACCTGTGATTTTAACAGTTAGTGGCAGCAGATGGTGGGTAGATCAGACAAACATGTTCCACCTACTGCTCCATCAGTTGGAAAAGCTCCATGCATGTCAAATCCTTAGCTCCATGGTATATTAATACTGTTAGACTTCCAAAGGACTGTTACACTTGTCGACACCAAACATGTGAACCACTGAGCAATGTGTTATATTTGCAGCTAGTCTTCAGTAAGTATAGCAAGCATTTTGTTCACAGAATGGCACCTAGCTTATAAGGAAGTCATTACTGTAGTGTTGGCCCAAGCTCCAGACTGAGACAGTGAAGGCTTGCTCATCTGGAAGCTGGATATTCAATCACTGTAAAGGACTACTGGCCTAAACTTGCTCTAGCCTGGTCACAAGTCAGAATTAATAAGACTCCTAAGTTATCAGTATCCTTCGGATTGTGCAGTGTGTTGTACTTGGGCAGGCTCTTAAGAGTCCCCTCTTATTTCTCTACCTTATCTCAGTCTTCAGCACCAAGGGACTTGGACTCAAACCAGACACATCTCGTTGAGAAATGCCCATACCAGCTGGGGATTCAGGTCTGGCTTTACAAAGCCCCAAAATACTATTCACTGTCAACACAGGCCATATGGAACCCCTTAAAGTGCGGTTTAGTCAGAAGAGCATCTATATAAAAATGGCACTTTGACTCAGCCACAGCAATTATGGGACAGCAAGCTGGAGACTGTTCTAGCTCACACAATTGTTAAATTTCTAATGCAGGGCCACCTTCTGCTGTTACACAGGTAGCCGAATTTAACCCAATGTATACTTTAGCAATAAAGATATGCAATACAAAAAAAAAATTAACTTTCAAATCCCAGACTGAGTTGGAGTTAGAAAATCTTTTTACTTGTGACCGATGCACATTTGACCTTAGAGTCTGACACACAAACCTGAAACCCAATTAAGCCTTTTTTTAAAAGAAATATTTAAATGTGTCCAAATTTCTCTTCAGAACAGAGCCAAACTTCAGTTTTCTCCTACAGCAAATATCAAATATTTTAATCAAAATGTGTTTGTAATTTAAGTAATCTTATTTTACATATTTGAATTTTTAAGTGTTTTCTGTTCAACTCCAAATGCTTGAGAATGTTTTGTAAGGAAAGCTTTCCTTGGGTTTCTCTCATTGCAGAGAGCATGGTCCTTGCCTATACAGTAACTGGTTCAAAAAAAAAAAAAAAAAGCACAGTATCAATCAGGATACTGACCAGGTGGACATTATAAAAACAAAACACATTGCTAAGTCTATCCTGGAGGAGATAAATACAAATAATTCTCTCTAGATTTGTTATACTTTGTACAAGTTTGGGAGAAGAGAGAAGATTCATTCAAACAACAGCTTTTTACACACAATTCTAATTCAAGGAATAAAGTGCTGAAAGGAGTTAAAACTGTATTAGCCTGATACTGGCCAACACAAGCGACCACATTTCTATGAGCTTTCCCAGTTAGAACTTGAGGCCACTGAATTTCTCTGAACCACAAGTCCTTCAAATTCACATAATTAGTGCACAAATGTAATTACAATTATTTCAAAAATTAACCCAAAATATATGAAACTCACTGATAGCATAAAATGTTATGGGGACAGTGTCATTCTCTTTAAGCCCTCAAAACTGTTCTAGTTTAGTAGGGGCTGTAATCTGGATACATTTTTTTTTTTAAAGCACACTATTAATTGAAAATTTATACCACAGATATCAACTGTGTAAGAAGTATTCATATTTGTTTGGAATGCCATAAACAGCAAAAGACAAACGGAAGGATTTCCATTTTATTTCTTGGACAGCACTACATACATTAAAAAGTAAAAACAAAGAATACTTGACACAGTTCCCTAAAAGTGTCAATATACAGATAAACACTTACTTCTTGCTGCGCTCTTCATGGCCATTGGCACTGCTCAATTTGTTCTCATCCTAAGCAGGGTTGATAGAAGAACATCGTGAGGACGAAGTGGTAACATTTCAAGTGGTCAAAGGGTAATGGGAATAGGAATAAGAAAATACAAAACAAAAATTTTAATACTAAATTACGTGTTTAAAGTTTAATATGGAAAGCTATAAAAATTTAAGTAGGCATGTTTAACCACTTTGCTGTTTACATTTAAGACATACAATTATAAAATACAAGAATTACAGTTTTTAAAAATATATTAAATTGTAGATACTTCCTTACATGATTTAGATAGTAAATTATCCTGTAGATTTCAGCACTCAAGTGGTTAAATGTTATTTCTATAAAATGTAAGAGGAAGTTTCAGGTTTAAGCATTTTTCATGTGCTATGATCCCTTTGATCAGTACCAAGGCTATATCTCTGCCTAAGCCCCAAGTGGCCATGCTAGCAGCCAGCCACTATCGATTTCTTGTGACCGATGCCATTCCTGAGATCTTCGCTCATTTTCGTTGGAGGGTTGTAAGAGCTTGATGCCACCTCTGTCACACATCTCGCCCTGAAGCAAACAGGGATTCACACTGCTTTAGTAACGTCGACTCCCAAGAAAGTCATCAAAAATCCACCAGTCCAGCCTAAACATTCCCTATTTCCATACCTGTTTACATGGAAAATATCCATGTTAAACTAGGACACAAGAATCTTAACATTACAAATTATGACTCTCTCCAAGATTTTACGTAACTGCTAACTATTACATAAAAAACTAAATATACAGTGTTTAAAGCTTACAAATGCTCATCCGAAACTGATACCACATGGTTGTGCTAAACAGTCCAAAATAAACTAACAGTAGCTGTTATATTTATTCTATAGTTTAATCATTCCAGCTACACCATGAGTACAACTGCTAAATTATTTCAAGTTTATACACATTTCTTGTGAAACCAGTGCTAATGCATGCATAATGTTAACACTTTCACCACCAATTGGTGAAAAAACGAAAAAAAGACAGTATACGTTTGCTGCCTGTTAAGGAGACTAAGTACATCACTATTCTAGTCATTGAGACGTTTTAACAGAATTTTGTGTCAAAATTTGTATTTCCTTATTGAACAACTAAAACAGAAGAGTACAACAGCTATTTTTAGAATGACACTGCAGACTGTGATACTGTCTTTTACTTGTTAAGAATGTATCTATTCAGGGATCCAAGAATTTTGGAAAGTTCTTTCACTCAGCAATTCATTTCCATCTGCCCTGTTAAAAGATTAACCATCACCAGTCTTCTATGTTAAAAATAATGGTCAGACGCCTCTTGCACTGAGTAGACTATTTAAAGATTTACTTGCCACGGACTGGTGAAAAGGTTATTCTTGGAACCCTGCTATTTTCCCAAACACTGCATTCACCTTGTTGCTATACCAAACTGGAGCTGGCAATTTTAGGCGAGTAATTGTTTTTTTTGTTTGTTTGTTTTTTTTACCTAGGGGACCACGGTACAGCGATACGTCACTCAATTACTACCTTATGATTGACAGTTCACACTGGAATCAAAGGTGAATTCATGGGAGTAGAGGTGAGATATCGTTAGGCAAGTCTACAAAGAGAGATAGATGGGCATTTATTCATCACGCTGAAGTGAAACTACTGCACAATATAATTACATTAACAGTATATATTTATTTGCAAGTTACATGTAATGCATCTCCAAAAAGATAAATCATGAGGGCTCCAGGGATGTTAGTTTACAGTTCAGCAGTAGTTTCATGAATAAGGCTAAATTAAGGTAAGTACAAGACCTCACTGGCACATTTTTCTCACCTTCTTGTAAGGAGCCTCAAGCATTGCTTCAATATCAATATCGTCAGCCATTTTTTCAAGACACCTGAAAGGAAAAGCAAAATTCATTAGATAGGAAAAGAGCCCATAAACTACATCAATTAATAGCTCCCAAGGCACTTGTACTTTTGATGACAAGGCCAATGTTGGGATGACCCCAAATTCACAAAATGATTTTTAGTTAAAATGCATGCTATAGGCTTGGCAAGCTGGTCAATTGGCCACCCTCAAATACTGTTAAATATTCCATCAAGAATGCTCTGAGGCCTACCTTTTTGACTGTATCATGATGTTTGTTATCAGTTAGCAAGCCTATATAAATGTCTTTAATCAATCACTTTACTAAACGCTAATGCCACATATTGGGAAAAAGGTGAACTAACTGAAAGCTGAGTATCTTGATTGGCTTGAATCTTCTAGAACAAACATTGTGCGCATGTATGAATGAGTATCTTTATTTGTATGCAAGGCCATCACTGCATACGGCAGTTTACAAACACAAGTTAAAAAATACTGTCCCTGCCCTGAAGAGCTAAACTGACTAGACAAATACAGAAATTAATCAAAAGGAAAAAAAGCAGGAGAAGGGTTCACAATAATTAAACTACCTCTCCAAACAAAGAGAAAAGATGTACTGCCATTAAGCTGCCTACCTAACGTAAGTGCATTTAAAATTTTTCTTTTATAATTCCCATACCGGGTGGATAAAAATCAATGTTTTTTTTTAATCAGTTTTTTATTTTAATCGGATTTTTTTGATAAAATGCTTTAAGGAAAAAACCTATCTAATGTTAAAGTGTGTTCTCGGGTAAAAATTCCCTAAAGGAGGACAGAGCTGTGACTAGGGACCCCTGGACTTCTAAGAGCTAAGCAGATCAAAGCAAGCATATGAAAGCAGCTAAGCTTTGATCAAAGCATGCATATCTATCACACTGAGATTTAATCTTCAAGACTCCTTATAAGAAATGGAAAGGGAGGTGGATTTTTTTTTGCTGTTTTTAAAATTAAACAGGCAGCTAAGTATTGTTTTTAAAATTATTATGAAGAACAAGTTTAAGCTTTGTTGTAACGTGCGTTGTTTGCCTGGACTGCTCAAGACCCGACTGCTTGTGTAGGAGGAACTCTTTGAGTTGGCTTCTTAAATACCTTCATGCTGTTTCACATCTGATACTCCTTGATGAAACATAGGAGCCTTGTCTTATAACAGGCTTATTCAAAGTGATACAAGCTACGAAAGTGAGATCTCAGAAGAGTGTTGCCATTTTCATAATGTAATAAAAATACTGTAATGATAAATAAAAATTAATAATAGTGTGTAATAAGCATGTCAAAAACAATTTCTATTTCCAAGATCACAGCTTTTATAATTTATCCTCATGTAAAGGAGAAAACCCCTGGAAATACTCATTTTTAGGAAGGGGTTCACGAGACACGACATTTTAGTGAAAGGGGTTCACAGGTTGTTAAGGTTTGGGAACCACTGATTTTAGGTTAATCTTTCTATCTACCCAATGGGACTCAGTGCTCAGTCTAGAAGATACCATCAGAGATTAGTTTTGCAGTTCTCAAACTGTGGATTTGTGTCTCCAGAGATAACATGCTTGTTAACAGCAAAAATGTTTTTAAATAAATATATAGAGGTGAGAAACAGATCTCAACTCTATTGTCCCGCTGCAAATTTTTGTACACAGAGTCAATCCCCTATCTCTCTCTAGAAGTGCCAAATTTCAAAAAGTTCAATGAATAGATTGTTGGGGGCGGAATAGATCTGGACAAGGAGAAATCGTCTGGAGATCAATGTGAGAAGGGAGGGACAGGTAGTAGAAACAAAATTGAAACTGTGAGCAGCATATTCCAGAAGTCTGAGGTCTTTCTGAGTGTAGCCATCATTGATTCGAGATCTACCATACCACTCTCTCATTAGAAGGGAAAATCTATAATGGCAGCAGGCCGTAAAAGAGACCCAGTTTGGGAATATTTTAATGAAGTTCCTCTACTTGGGGGTAAGACAGGCATATGCGCAAAATGCAAACAGTGCAACAAAGAAATACAAGGCCTGGTTGCCCGAATGAAATAACATCATGAGAAGTGTTCCTTTTCAGGAGGAAGCTGTGTTGAAGATGATGAAAGGAACGTGTCTGAACATGCAGGATCTTCAGGTTGGTAAACTTTTTTATTTCATACTTCTTTCTTAAGGACTGTCTGTCTTCCCTCTAGACTATTCTTGAATTCTCATGTTTGAGTAAAAAATATACACCTCTACCCCGATATAACACGAATTTGGATATAACGCAGTAAAGCAGCGCTCCGGGGAAGCAGGGCGACGCACTCCAGTGGATCAAAGCAAGTTTGATATAACACGGTTTCACCTGTAACACGGTAAGATTTTTTGGCTCCCGAGGACAGCGTTATATCGGGGTAGAGGTGTAGCTGTTACTCTATGGTACTATAATTTTAGATGCAGTTGTGATAAAAAAAATAAATAGTTGAAATAGGCAGATCTTCCTTTTACAATTTCACCTTTAAAGTAGCACTGACTCTCAGTGCATGCAATGAGTAATAATAAATGAGCAGTATGGCAATAATAATTAAATAACTGCATTGACTTATTTTGTTTAGGAGAATCCATCCTCAACATACAGGATTCTGAAGACTATCCACCTTCAAGATCACCATCATTTTGTATAGTTTCAGAGTTATCTGCCAATGATAGTCTTTCAGTCACATCATGTATGTCACATAGCCACAGTATATCACCTATAGCAAAAAGAAAAAAAATCTCCATCATCCAGAAACAACCAGAGATAAATTTGTGATAAGAACCAGCAGATTACAAAAAGGTAATTGATGAAAAAAATTGCCCAGTTTATGCAACGAACTCTCCTTTCCATATGACTGAGAACCCACACTTCATTAACATGGTTCAGTCATTAAGACCAAGATACAGTCCACCTAACAGAGCAGCTGTCGCAGGCAAATTGCTGGATAACATGTATGAAAGAGAAACTAAACTGTGTGCAAAAGGTCTACATGGTGAAATTGTTAACCTGAGTCTTGATGGGTGGAGCAAGGGCCACAATGCTCCTGTTGTATGTGCTTGTGTGACAACAGAAGAAGGGAATGTCTTCCTTACAGAAAGAATTGATACACCAGGAAATGCACACACAGCAGAACACTTACAAGAAGTAGCAGTAAAAGCTATAACAAACGGTGAAAAAAATTTCAAACGTCTAAAACACCGCTTGGTCACAGACAATGCTGCAAATGTTCCAAGACGAGAAGAAATTTAGAAGAGAGTCCCAAGCTAATAACATATGGTTTCAGTTATCATCTGATGCACCTCCTAGTCAAAGACTTCAGTGTTCCAGAAATAAAGGCTAATGCTGTTGAAATTGCAAAATACTTCCGTAACCACCACTTTGCAGCAGCTGCTCTGAAAAAAGTGGGAGGAACAAAGCTAACACTCCCACAAGGCGTGCGATGGAACTCAGTAGTGGACTGTTCTGAGCACTGTATCAAGAACTGGCCTAATTGGATGACAGTTTGTGAACAAAATTGTGAAAAAATAGATGGCACTGTCACAGCCAAAGTTCTCAGCACTGGGCTTAAGAGAAATGTTGAACACATGCTGAGTACCCTGAAGCCTATTTCCGTAGCCTTGAACAAAATGCAGGGAAATAGCTGTTTTATTGCTGACACTGTTGAAATTAGGAAGGAACTGAGTGAGATCTTAAAAAGAGAAATATGCAATGACAGAGTTCAATTACAAGCATTAAAAAAACAAATGGGACAAGCACTGTCTCCAGCTCATTTTCTTGCAAATATTCTCAATACTCGGTACCAGGGTCAAACCTTAACTGCTGAAGAAGAGAAGTTGGTTACGACATGGACATCCAGCAATCATCCCTCCACAATGCCAACTATAATAAATTTCGGAGCGAAGGGTGAACCATTCAAGAAATATATGTTTTCCGATGTTTTAAATATATGTTTTAAAGAAAGTCACACCAGTGAACTGGTGGAAGTCACTTAAGCACTTGGATTCAGAGACTGTTGAAGTGATTATCTCACTTAACAGCAGTAGCTTCTTCTGCCGCTGTAGAAAGAATATTTTCTTCCTCTGGACTAATTCATTCCAAATTGAGAAATCGTTTGGGACCTGAAAAAGCAGGAAAGCTTGTTGTTCCTTTCCAGATTATCAACAAACAGGAAAATGAAGATGAAGACAACTGAGTTACCTGCAGAAACCAATATTTTAAGTTTCTGATGTTGACCTGGCTGACACAGTCGATTTAATTTTTTTTTAATATTTCATTTAACTATTTTAGTTAAACAATTTTAACAAAAACAACCTTATTTTAAAAAACTTGAATGTTTAACTAAATTCAAAAATTCATATGCTTGTTTTGTTAAAATATTATATGTTTGCTGTTGAAGAAAAAAATCCAGAACATTGTTGGTTTAGTTAAATAAAACAATTTAAATATCTGTCTGGTGGTGTTCTCCTCCTAATACAGCATGGCAAGAAAATCCTCCAAATATTAATGATTAACCTGTTGAACTGGAGATAGTTCACCTCCCAGTGACTTAATAAATACCTACTTCAATTACCATTGGTAAATGAAATAACCAAACAATCATTCATTTTCTGATATAGCTGTAAAACTAATCTGAAAAGTTTTCAAAATAAATCACTTAAAAAAATGTATAGTGTGTACTTTCCAAAAATGAAACCTACATCTATCTCTGAGTTGTGAACAATATGTATTAAGGTTATAACAACTAACAAGAATGCACTTTTATGTAGAAATCCATGATTAAATCGAGTCTTCCTGTCTAGTAAATCCACCCTGTTGCTGTATGTTTGTTTCCTGTTTAATTTCATTTTATTTTATTTTGTAATTGTTTACTCTTGTCCAAATTTAAATGTGAAGCTAACATTGCTAAAAAAAGTAGCAATTATTACTTCATTTTTTAAGAACTTTGTTTCATTGTTTCACATTTTCTGAGTTAAAATAATAATTAAATAACCCGTTTCTTGTAATTAGGCATATGTATCTAAGGCTAAGCCTACTGGAAACCATAGTCTTACTCACTACAGTTCCAATAAGTTAGCGCTTTAAAATATTTGACCAATTATTTTTTGGATCAGTCAATTGACCAACTATACATACTAATAAGGACCTTGTTAAAATGATACTGAATGAGAAACATCATATGGAGAAGAATCAGGAAGGAGTTTGCAGTGGGAACGTAACCTGCACACTGACAGTACAGAATGCGTTATAAGCACCAGCTAAGTCATGGTTATGAATGGAAGATGAAGTTCAAAGAAAAGAACTACGTGCCACCTGCTTCTTTATGAAAACGAATGTCAGAAAGATTCTCCCTATACCCAAATATGCTTATTTATTAGAAATTCAGGTCCTGCACCAAACTGAAGAACCAGTAGGGTTTGACACCACAGTTACCAAAAGAAGCAAGACCTAAACAACAGAGAAGGGACATGTATGCAAACTACTTAAAACTTGGATTTTTGCAAATGTCCAAGTTTCATAGATTTCAAGGCCAGAAAGTGCCATTATGATAATGTCTCACCTCCTGTGTAGCACAGGCCAGCAAATTTGTCCATGTATTTCCTGCATCAAGCCCAATAACCTGCAGATGAACTAGAGCTTCTCTTTGATCCCTTAGCTCCCCATACTTTCTCCCCAGGTAGGTACTTTTAGACTGACCAAGTTGTCTCTTAAAACTTGCTCTTCTACAAGCTAAAATAAATTGAATTCCTTAAGTTACTCACTGCAAGGCAAGTGTTCCAGTCCTCATACTTCTTTTCTTCCCTGAAGCCTCCTCAATTTTTCCAATATCCTTTTTGAAGTGAGGATATCAGAACTGGACACAGTATACCAATTGCAGTCTCATCATATACAGAAGTAAAGTTACCTCCCCATTCCTATGCCATATTCTCCTGGCAATTCACATCCAAGGATAGCATTAGCTCCTATCCACAGCATTTCATTAACAGCTCATGTTCAGTTGGTTATCCACCATGATTCCCTATATCTTTTTCATGTAAATACTTTCCAGAATACAGTCCCCCATCCTGTAAATATGGCCTATATGTTTTTTTTCTAAACATATATGCTTTTGCATTTACCAGTATTAAAATAAATTTGTTTATATCCAAGTTCCCAAGAGATTCAAATCCCTCAATTTTACCTATCCTTATCACCACTTCACCAATCTTTGGTATTATCTGCAAAGTTTATCAGCAATGATTTCATATTTTCAACCAGATCACTGACACGGAAATTGACTAGCATGGGGCCAAGAACAGATTCTTGTGGGACCCCATTAAAAACACTTCCTTTCAATTATTCCCATTGAAATGTGGACAAGGGTGATCCAGTGGATAGTGTATTTAGATTTTCAGAAAGGGACGGTCCTCTCATGATTGGCTGAATTGGTTAAAAGACAGAAAGCAAAGGGTAGGAATAAATGGTCATCTTTCAGAATGAAGAGAGGGAAACAGTGGCGTCCCCCAGGAGACCAGGGCTATTCAACATATTCATAAATGATCTGGAAAAATGGTAGGTGGCAAAATTTGCAGACAATTACTCAAGATAGGTAAGTCTAAAGCTGACAGCGAAGAGTTACAAAGGGATCTCACCAAACTGAATGACTGGGCAACAAAGCAACAGATGAAATTCAGTGGTGACAAACACAAAGTAATGCACACTGGAAAACAATCCCAGCTATACATACAAAATGATGGAGTCTAAATTAGCAGTTACCACTCAAGAAAGCGATCTTGGAGTCATTGTGGCTAATGCTCTGAAAAGGTGTGCTCAGTGTGCAGCGGCAGTCAAAAAAAGTAACAGAAAAGGAAAGGGATAGATAAGACAGAAAATATCACAATGCCTGTATATAAATCTATGGTTCCCCCACATCTGGAATATGAGTGCAAATCTGGTCGCCCCATCTCAAAAAAGATATACTGGAATTTGAAAAGGTACAGAGAAGAGCAAAAAAAAAGATTAAGGGTATGGAATAGCTTCCATATGAGGAAAGATGAAAGAGAATGGGACTGTTCAGCATGGAAAAGAGACGATTAAGGGGGGGGATATGATAGAGGTCTATAAAATCTGGACTGGTGTGGAGAAAGTGAGTAAGGAAATGTTATTTACTCCCTCCCATAACACAAGAACTAGGGGTCACCCCTAGTTAATAAACAGGTTTAAAACAAAAGGAAGTACTTCACACAACACATGGTTAACCTGTGGAACTCTTTGCCAAGGGATGTTGTGAAGGCCAAAACTATAACAGGGTTCAAAAAAGAACTAGGTAAGTTCCTAGAGGATAGGTCCATCAATGACTATTAAGCCAGGATAGGCAGGGATGCAACACCACGATCTGCGTGTCCCTAGCCTCTGTTTGCTAGAAGCTGGGTGCGGATGACAGGGGAGGGATCACTTGATGATTGCCTGTTCTGTTCATTCCCTCTGAAGAACCTGGCATTCGCAAAAGTCAGAAGACACGATACTAGGCTAGATGGATCATTGGTGGGGAACAGTTTCATAGACCTGAGGAAGAGCTCGGAGTAAACTCAAAAGCTTGTCTCTCTCACCAACAGGAGTTGGTCCAATAAAAGATATTACTTAACCCATCTTGTGTCTCTCATATCTTGGGAACAACATGGCTACAACAACACTGCATACAACTATAAAGTACCAAGTCAAACATTACAGAAATTATAGAGTTACCTTTACCAAATTTGTAATTTCATCAAAAATATTTTATTTATTTCACAATACCTATTTTCCATAAACAATGTTGAATGGCACCTAATAATTTAATGCTGGGATAAGAATAATAAGGACTCAACATTCCCATACTCTTCAATTGCAGAAACTCAAAATGACCTTCTGTAAGTCATCCAACCAGGGGAACAGTGAAACAAACACTTGTAACCTCCGATATTCCTATACAGAAAAAAGTGAGCTGAAGTGAGATGAAGTGAGCTGTAGCTCACGAAAGCTCATGCTCAAATAAATTGGTTAGTCTCTAAGGTGCCACAAGTACTCCTTTTCTTTTTGCGAATACAGACTAACACGGCTGTTCCTCTGAAACCAGAAAAAACCCTGAAGCCTTTTCAGGTCACCCAATCACAAAGCTGCAATGGGTACAAACCCTGCCTATACCTTAAGTATAATCTTTAATTGTAACCTGCCAAATATTTTTTGTATTGTGCTCCTACCCTTTGTTTGCTTCTTCATGATGTACAAAAGAGGCCTAGATGATGTTCCCCACCTTCAGTTTTCACCTTAGGAATTTCAGAAATATTAACTCTAGTCTTTTCTAGTTTTGCTGGAAGTCCTCTGTGAGGTCTCTGGGGTGTTTACTGTTGAGCTGTAATATCTTCACTGAACTGAATTCCCCAAGAAATACATGTATTTTCTTACATGTTTAGTTAACATGGTGAGATACTAGTCGAAACAAAACAATTTGTAGTTTTCACATGTCAAGAAAAGCACTAGGGTTGAGTGCAGCATTTACCTCAAGCTACAAAGGTGTCAAAACTCCATTTGCCTTGCCTACCTAGGGTTAGGCAATATTAGTTAACAATGGATACAAATTTCAGAGTAACAGCCGTGTTAGTCTGTATTCGCAAAAAGAAAAGGAGTACTTGTGGCACCTTGGAGACTAACCAGTTTATTTGAGCATGCTCAAATAAACTGGTTAGTCTCCAAGGTGCCACAAGTACTCCTTTTCTTTTAATGGATACAAACACACTGTGCGTTCCTGGCCAAGGCCAGGCCAAACCTGCCGTTTCCCACCATGTTGCTACTGCAGTTCAATAGGTGGGAACAAAATACAATCATTTTAGACTGTCCAGCGTCCACTAGCTCAGCCCAGGTTTGGCGCCCATGGCACTCGCTCTCCCGCCGCCCCGCGCTGCCAGCCTAGAGCCGGAATTTATAATCCCAGGCGAGCAGAAACAACTTTCCAGAGAGCCCTTCGCGCAGCCTGTCCCCGCGGGGAGGCGCAGAACCCGCAGGCGGTGCCCCGTGCGCTCCCGGCCTTGGCGGCAGCAGCTGCGCCAGGGACGGTCTGGGCCGAGGCCCAGCTCGCCAGCTACGCGGCTACGGGAACAAACAGCCAGGGCCCCGGCCAGACCAACAGCTGCGGCCTCCCCAGCACCACCTCCAATGGAGGGGGAGGGATGACAACCGCTGAGGCCCCACACCCCCGGGATTTCAGGCCAGGGCTCTCCCCGGGAAGGCGGGCCCGGCTGGGAAGACAACCTAGAAGCCTCCCGGAGAAGACTGGGTAAAAGGGCCCGGCCAGGAGAGGAGGCTCTGCCCGCGGCCCCCCACATGCGGCGGCGGGAAGGGCCCTCGGGCCGAACGCGGCCGCGGAACCGGACGGCCATAAGCGGGCGGGGGCCGCGCGATTACCTGCGCTGCTGTGGATTACGCTTCTTGCTCAGGTGCCCGGGATCCGGCGGCGCTAAGGACGGGGATAGGCCCAGCGGCAGCGAGTCCCTCAGAAAAGGGGATGGGGGGCCCGGATACTAAAGGCCGCTCCCGGCCAACTCTGGTAGCAGCGGCGACTGCTCCCTGAAATGGCGCCTGCCGCGTCTAGCTGCTTGGGAGCTCCGCGCACTCACACACGGGGCCGCCCAGAGCTCGCTGCACGGGCTCTCGCGAGACTGAGACAAAACAAACAAGGCTGAGCGCGTCCTTGACACACGAATGTCGCGAGACACCACACCCGGAAGCAGACTTGAACAATCGCGAGAGTAAGGAATAGGCCCCGCCAAAGTGTGCTCCCCTGCCGTAGGCTCAAAGTCTCGCGAGATTGGGGTCTGCAGTAACCGCACTAGAAAGGTCAAAGGTGAAATTTGGATATTTAAACAAGAAGTAGAATTTATTACCGGTCTTCTCTCTTGGGTTGGGGGGCGGGGGGGTGTTTTCAACGCTGGACGGGGGGTGGAGTCGGGTCAATGCTGGCACAGAGGGGTTCCCCCCCGAAAGCCCTGGGTGAAGGGGGGGGCTATCCCCTCCAGGAGCGCTGTGCCGGGGGGGTCCCTACCCTGGTGTCGTGACTGTCGCTCAGTCATGCCCAGCTCTCTCTGCCCAGCTCTACTTAAGGCCTTGTTTACACTGGACCGTTTTCTGCCATGGCACTGCTATATAGGGTTGCCAAGTTTCTAACAGCACAAAACCCAAAGACCCCTGCCCCCTCTTCTCTGAAGCCCCTCACTCACTGACTTTCACCGGACTGGGGCATGGGTTGGGGGGGGGGCTAATGGGCTCTGGGCTGGAGGTGTGGGTTCCATGGGGGCTAGAAATGAGGGGTTCAGGGTGAAGGAGAGGGCTGGGTTGGGGTGTGGGGGGATAAGGGCTCCAGCTGGGGTTGTGGGGCTGGGGATGAAGGGTTTGGGGTGCAGGAGGGGGCTCAGGGCAGGGGCAGGTTTTTGGGGTGGGGTGCAGGGCAGGCTCTGGGAGGGAGTTTGGGTATGGGAGGGGACTCCAGCTTGGGGCAGGGGGTTGGGGTGTGGGGTCCCGGCAGTGCTTACCATGGCTCCGAGGAAGTGGTCGCCAAGTCCCTGCAGCCCGTAGGGTTCCCGGCCAATGTAAGCTGTGGAGCTGACACCCAGGCAGAGGCAGTGTGTGGAGCTTCCCTGGCTGTCCATGAGCCTAGGGGCCGCAGGGACCTGGCAGCCACTTTTGGGAGCCGCATGGAGCCAGGGCAGGTAGGGAGCCCGCTGTAGCCCCAGGCCCCAGCTGCGTCTCCAACTGGACTTTTAATGACCCAGTCGGCAGTGCCGACCAGACCTGTCAGGACCCCTTTTTGACCAGGAGTTCCGGTTGAAAACCAGACGCCTGGCAACCCAGTGCCACCATAGTGATTTCTCCCGAGCAATCCACATGTGGCTGCTATTGCTAGCAGGACATTGTCTCTCATCATCATCATCAAGGTGTATCGGCAAAAGACGTGTGGCCCTGAGATAGGCATCCCAGTGTCCCCTACGCCAGTAGGGTTGCCAGCCCTCCCGGATTGGCCAGGAGTCTGCCGGAATAAGCCTCGATCTCCCAGTGGCTACTGAAAGCAATCCAGGAGATTTTAATAGGCTGTTAAAAGTTCAGTTAGATTTTAATAGGCTGTTAAAAGTTCTGCTCCCTACCTGCCCTGGCTTCGCACAGCTTCCAGAAGCAACTGGCATGTCCAGCTCCTAGGCGCAGGGGCGGCGAGGAGGTCTCCACGTGCCACCACCGCCTTGAGTGCTGACTTCACAGCTCCCATTGTCCTGGACGGCTGCCTGGCCACCCCTGAACCTAGGAGCCAGACATGCCAGTCGCTTTCAAGAACCATCTGAGGTAAGTGCCGCCCAGCCGGAGCACATACCCCTTCCCTGCCTTGAGCCCCCTCCTGCACTCTGAACCCCTTAGCCCCAGCCCAGAGCCCCCTTCTGCACCCCAAACCCCTCCTCCCTGGCCCCAGCCGGAGCCCCCCTCCCCCTCCCACACCCCAACCGCCTGCCCCAGCCTTGAGCCTCCTCCCACACTCCGAACCCCTTGGCCTCAGCCCAGAGCCCTCTCCTGCATCCCAAACCCCTCATCCCTGGCCCAACCCCAGAGCCCACACTCTCAGCCAGAGCCCTCACCCCCTTCCACATCCCAACCCCCTGCCCCAACCTGCTTAAAGTGAGCGAGGGTGAGGGAGAGCAAGCAACGGGGGGGGGAGGGCAGGTTATGGGGGGCAGGAGGCGGGGCAAGGGTGTTTGGGTTTGTGCGATTAGAAAGTTGGCAACCCTGTATGCCAGCCTCTACCTCACTACCTCTTGGAGGATACCAGAGACAGGATCCTATAGTTGCTCCAAATCTTGTACAAAGGAGGTCAAGTAAGGTGTCTATGGAAAGGATGTACTTTGCTGGTTATGATTATGCTGTCTGTATGTCTGTATCATTTTTGTATGTGAAGTTATGAATATTGGCTACATATTTGTATCTCGATGTGTTTGATTCTTAGGAGCATCAGTGAAGCATTTGGTAAGCTTCTTGAGAAAGGACTATTCTGAGTAATTACAGGTTTCAGAGGAACAGCCGTGTACTCCTTTTCTTTATTCTGAGTAAGTGCCCAGTCAAGAAACACTTAACTGACAATGGACTTTGGGAGACGCCAATCCACATCTGAGCTTTCCTGCGAACATTCAAACTAACATGTAAACAATAGCATCAGCCTGCAAAAAGCTGAATCATTCATGGACATGTGACTTGCCCAGGTGGCTACAAACTCCATCTTGTTGCTGTGATTTTGCACAGAAGAACAAAGGGGTTTCTGCCCACAAGAGAGAGAATATAAAAGGCAGTGGAAGCCTCTCCCTTTTGTCTTCAGATGGCTCAAGAAATGGCCTTTCCACCCCAAAGGGATGCCTGAAAGAAACTGGAACAAAGGTCTGTAACTACGGGGGTGTGAGTGATTGCTGGACCCAGGCCATAAAACACAATGTTGGTCCAAAAAGGATTTGGCCCAGAGTAGGAAGGAGTTTAGTCTGTGAAAGAAGCTTACTGGAACATCTCTGAGGGTGAGATTTACCTGTATTCAGTTTCCTACTGTATTAGGCTTAGACTTGCGTGTTTTGTTTTATTTTGCTTGGTAACTTAGTTTGTTCTGTCTGTTGTTACTTGGAACCACTTAAATCCTACTTTTTATACTTTTGCTTATTAATTATCCCAAAGTAATTAATACCCGGGGGGGAGCAAAGAGCTGTGATTATCTCTCTATCAAGTGTTATAGAGGGCGGACAATTTATGAATTTACCTTGTGTAAGCTTTATACAGAGTAAAACAGATTCATTTGGGGTTTAGGCTCCCAGAAAGACTGAATACTGGGTGCTGGGAAAGTCCTTGTTAACTGAAAAGCCCCTGGGCTAAGTGAATCTTATTTTCTGGGCAGGAGGGCTGTAGTTGGTCTGTGCTATAGCTAACTGGAGTGTCTAACTCAGCAAGATGAAAGGGGGAAGCCTTCTCTGGAAGGGGGGGGTTTGTTCTCAGTGGTATCCCAGCACATCTAGTGACAGTCTTGCGGGAGTCTCTGTGACCAAATCTGTCACAGGGGGCACTTCTTCAAACCCAGTGAGTGGTAGGGGAACTTTAAGGATAGTGTAATAAAGACTGAAAAACTTATTACAGGCAATAGTGATCTTAGCAGATATGACTTATGATGGTATCGAAGGTTCACAGACTGCAGCTGCTTAAGAGAGTCTGTGTTCAGCCAGAGCTGTATGGTACTGGCCTCTGTAGCAACGATCCCCTGAGAGGTCCTTGCAGAATGGAGTAAGACGGTACCCTACCCTGGTGGGAGAAACAAGGCTGGTCTGCCTAGAAATGTCCAGGCAAAGATCAAACAGTATTTGCTTGAAAAGCTCAGTGAAATCCCAGAGGACTGGAAAGCTATGTGGGCCAAGATAAATGCTCTTCTGCACTATTGGCAGAGGGCCCCAGTGACTGCCTGTGCAAGCTCACCGCACATTGTTTCTGCCTCTTTCCTGAATCTAAACACAGCATGCAAGTAATGTGTTTTGGACTTGAAAGCCTGCATCTAATCAGTTTACAATGCATTTTCTGCAAATGCATGTTTGAATACTCACTGGTCTGTGTGTAGCTTAAAGTTAGTGCAAGTGCTTTTTTTCCTATTTGCAGAATTTTGTTTGGTTACGGGGAAGGCATTGCCTGCAAAAGTATGTACTTTCAATGCTTGTTTGCAAAGTATTGGCAAACATATGCATTTGGGAATACTTGTTGGCGGCTTTTTCCTATTTTCTTTCTGTTGATTTTGGCTAGTGCTGCCAGTTTGTGCTCTTCAAATAAATAGGCCACTTTTAAACAGAATGTCTTTGTTCACTGTCCATTCACAGTCAGCTGTCATTTTGAAAGGGGAAGGGGCCCTGGAGAATGTAAAATAAAGGCATGCATTAATGGGCATGAAGTCACAACATACCTTCGTCCCGAATCGCTAATCCGTTCACTCTCCAAGTTCAGCTGAGCCTCAAAGAGGTCCTGGCTCTCGAGCAGCCTGACATCATCTATGTCCCTCACCTCAGTCCGCAGGTCCCGAGCTTGCAAGTCTGGCCACTATCACGGGCCAGTTGGTGAGGGGATCCCTGCTCAGTTTGGCATCACACTGCACATAAGAGCAGTTCTTGGGGGAAGCACCAGACTTTGTTACCCTCCTTTTTTGTCTTCTGTTAAACCTGCCGCAGTTCCTTCCCTTTGCCTGGCTTTGTCTCTCATCCTTGCTGTATCCAGGCTTCTGTCTGCATCTCCTTTGCAATATCTATGTATACATCTTTGTCCCTGCAGGAATTCTACAGCTGTGCCTTCACTGCTCACCTCCCCTCAACCCCCACCTCCCAGCCAAGGAAATCCAGGACATCTCAGCTGGAACTGTGCTTATACAGATACACTTCATGAGGAAACAGGTGTTTCCAGAAAACACTGGAGTAAGAAGTGAACTTCCAGATGTGAGACTTCTGAGCTGCAGGGCTCAAAAATTTAACCAGAGGTCCCTGCTGCAGTGACAGTTGAATTGTGCGCTTGTTGCTGGAAGACTGTGTTTGCTGGTACTGGTACATCTGTGTACATACAGGCATTTTGTCAGCAGCACTATCCTACTAGAGGATTTCGTCACTCAGGGAACTGGTTTAATTTTACAAGTAAATTTTCAGAGTTTTGTCAGCAGGACTCAGTTTTGAGCGTGGATGCATGTAAGCTGTGCTGACAGAATTAAAATTTGTAGCTAGTTTTACCTGACCCAGGATACTATGTGAAGTGTTTGGCATATCTTCTGTTAAAGTGGCACTTAATAACAGAGATGTGTGTGTATATAATACAATTGATCAGAAAGCCAGGATCACTGTAGTACAAACATTCTGAGCCAAATCAGAGTTTGTAATATATGACCTTGCAGGATCTGTATTTAATGTTCTTACAAACAACATACATTTTAATTTTCAGTGCATGAGTAGTTTCATTAAAAATAGAAGTTATGTATACATATGTGTCTTCAAGATTGTGACCATAACTTCTCGTTCTGGACAGGAAGGGCAAAAAACCAAGTCCCCAAGGTTCAGATGTGTCTGATATTTCTGTGAAACAATCATTCCATTGATAGGTTAACCTCTTTTGGATCAAATTTTTATAGTTTTTCATGTTGGCATTATAGACAATTTGCCAAAAGCTGTATACTCTGGACAGTGCTCAGAACATTAATGAGCTCCGACAATGACATTTTTACAATAATTAAGTGTCTTGTCATATGGGTAAAAAAAATGTAAAATTATTTTAAAAAATGAGATAACCAAGGTTGTCATTTTTACCCATGGCAGGAAGCCACTGAGAAAAATTAAAACCTGGCTATTTTCAGAGACCATGCATATTAAAACGCATTCTAGTTCCTCAATATTTTGAGGAATGGCAGAATAAGCATCTAGAAAGAAAGTAGATAGTGCACAAGAAACACTTTTAATAAATTTTAAGGCTAGAAGGGCCAATTCTGAGCATCTATCCTGATCTCCTATATAGCACAGGGTAGAGAGTTTCACCCAGTGGTCCCTGCATCAAACCCCACGGCTTGTGGTTGAAGTAGAGCATCTCATTTAGGAAGACATCCAATCTGGATTTAAAGATTGCAAGGTACAAAGAATCCACCACTTTGGTAAGTTGTTCCAATAGACAATAACCCTCACTGTTTTAAATAAATAAGATTACACCTTATATCTAGCCTGAATTTGTCTAGTGTCAGCACATTAGCAATCTTACAGTCTTCTGGAATTATACCGCTTCTTTCCAAATACAAAACATGAATTATTGAACATGTCTGCCTTTTCTGCATCATTAACAATTTTACCATCTCCATTTACGAATGAGCCTATACCATTGCTAGGATTTCTTTTGTTCCTAATATACTTTAAAAATTCCCTTGTATTGTGTTTAGCCCCTGACATATATAGATTTTTTTCCCTGATGTCTTTAGCTTCCCTTATCAATTTTCTAAACTTTATAGCTTATAATTTTATGTTGATTTATTTATTTCCCTTCCCCTCATATGTTACTTCTTAATTTCTAATTGCTACCTTCACTTTGCCACTGACCCAGGATTGGTTTTAGCCAAAGTTGTCCTCTCTCTTTTTTTTTTTTTAATTGTGGAATCATGGCTTTTTGGCCATCTAAGAACTCATCTTAAAGAACTTACATTTTCCTCTAAATTCTTCCTCCCAGTCAATTCACTCTTCTTTAAGAAGTTAGCCCTTTCAAAGCCACAAGTATATATACTGCTGGTTGGGATGATCCTTTGTTTGCGCAAATCAATTATTGGGCCCAAAGCAGTCACCATAGTGGATACACTAATGCCATACGTGGTGGTTGTAACACCTCTCCATGCTGCTTCTTTATTGCCACTTCCCTATTTGGGGTTGGCAACTTTTATAGCCTTCTTCTATAATTCATGATTGTACTCCAAGCTGTCTTGTGAATTGATCTCTCTAAGGTTTGCTGATATCCAGTTCACGTACCGCATCTTTGTCTCACCCTTGGTAACCTTCCGTCTGTAATCATTTCAGCAATACAGCTCTCAGGTCCCCACTGGACATGTCACTACCAATGTAGCCTAGCCTCACTCAGTTCATCGTCAGTTGGGGCAATCCGCATTAGGCCCCACCCTACTCCGACTCAACATTCCCCTTTTTATACATCCCAGGATCCCATTTGCTCTCTTAGCCACAGCATTGCACTGGGAGCTCTTGTTCAGTGGGTTATCCATCAAAATCCCTTACATCCTTTCTGAGGCATGACTTTCAAAATGCAGCCCCCCTTCTTATAAAGATGACCTACATTCTTCAATCCTAGATGTATGTATGCTTTTGAAATTGGCTGTATGAAAATGCTTGTTCCAGTGAGCCAAACTTACCATGCAATCCAGATTGCTCTGTATAACTGACCTCTCCTTATCATAATTTATCATTCCACTATTCCTTGTGTCATCTGCAATCTTTACCAGCATTTCTTTTAAATATTTTCTTCCAGATCAGAGCTTTAAAGAAATTGAATAGCCGTGGGCCAAGAACAGCTTCCTGCAGGATCTCACTAGAAGTGTCCCCGGTCGATGTTGATTCCCCAATTGTTGATTACAACTACTTTTTAAGATCTATCAGCCCCTTTTAATATGTGCTACTTTGATTTTTGTATAGGGCCACTTTTTAAGCATTAGAATGGTGTGTGGTACTACAGTAGAATCTCAAGAGTTATGAACACCAGAGTTACGAACTGACCAGTCAACCACACGCCTCATTTGGAATCAGAAGTAAGCAGTCAGGCAGCAGCAGAGACCAAAAAAAAAAAAAAAAGGGGGAGTGGAAAAACAAGCAAAAACCATAGAGTACTGTGTTAAACATAAACTAATGAAAAATAAAGGGAAAGCAGGATTTTTCTTCTGCATAGTAAAGTTTCAAAGCTGTATTAAGTCAATGTTCAGTTGTAAACTTTTGAAAGAACAATCATAATGTTTTGTTCAGAGTTACGAAAAACCTTCATTCACGAAGTGTTTGACTCTGAGGTTCTACTGTAAGTCTAATGGCCTGCAGAAGTCTAAATATACTATCCACAGTCTAAAAATACATAACACAGACTTAAGGTTCATCAGTAGTGCCTAGTACTTGAACGTCAAAAGCATCTTTACTTAAACTTTTGAAAAACAGGAAATAGCGAATTAAGCGGGGAGGGATAGCTCAGTGGTTTGAGCATTGGCCTGCTAAACCAAGGGTTGAGAGTTCAACCCTTGAGGGGGCCATTTAGGGATCTGGGGCAAAAATTGGGGATTGGTCCTGCTTTGAGCAGGGGGTTGGACTAGATGACCCCCTGAGGTCCCTTCCCACCCTGATATTCTATGATTCTAAGGTACACACCAAGTCCTTTCCTCAGCCTTAACTCAGCTACCTTTGCAGCTACTAAGAGCCAACGGGAACAAGCAAAGTATGGTTCAGTCAGGGCTGCCCTATAATAAGTAGAAGACAAGAGGGGTGAAGTAATATCTTTTATTGCACCACGTAGCTCGAAAGCTCCTGTCTTTCTCACCAGTAGAAGTTGGTCCAATAAAAGATATTACCTCACCCGCTTTGTTTCCTAATAGCATGGGGCTGACACAGCTCCACCAACACTGCATGCTGTACTAAATAGACATGCCATTTCATGCGCTGTGATCAGAGGCGGATTAAGATCTATTGTGGCCCGAGGCACAATTCAAATCGGGCCCTCCCACACATACCCAACATGGGACCCCGCCCCCTGCTCCTCCTCTTACCCCCCATGGTTCTGCCTTCTGGCCTGGCCGGAAGTCAGGCCATGGTAAGAGCTGGCTGGGGAGCCTTGGACTCTCCACCTGTCCTGAACGACGCACCCTGGGTGGCTGGGACATGCACCAGGGGCTGCTCTCGAACACCCCAGCTCCTAGCCCAGGGCAGGTAGAAAGTCCGGGGCTCCCCACAGCTGCCCAGGCTCCCTGGGCGGCTCTTACTACAGTCTGGGGTGACCATAGGTCTTGTTTAGGCCAGGCCAGTCCCCTTTTTAAGCCCTGCCCTGGACTTCCCGACTTTTTTGGCAAAACTGGTCATTTATCCATCATCAGTTGACAAGAGCAAATGGGACAAATGCCCAGTTTAGCCAAAAAGGGACTCAAGGTGGGGCCAGCTCCACAAGGTGGGGGGGAGTGGTGTGGCGGGGAGAGGGACTCAGGGGCCCCTAGAAAGGAAGTTCCTTTTACAAGTACAGGGAGAAAAGGAACAGTATGTATTTGTGTGTGTGTGGTAGAATATTTAAAAGAGGGGAAATTTTGGCTGTCTAAAAGGCCCATTCAAATAGGGAAGAAATGAATCCGAGTCAGGGTGAGAGGGGAGCAGAGAAGAGCCTAGATAGCTTATAGATAATGTACTGGGCTGGCTAGAAAAAAAACAGCTCTGGGCAAAAACCAGCTATTTACTGAAGACAACAAAGGAACCATGTACAGTTGCTGCACTTTATTTTGCTGCCTTTATTGTCTTCAGTGAGTTAGAACTGCCTATTTTATTGCAACTGGTTTAATAAAGACAAACCTGCCATAACTGAAGTATTTTAAATCGTTCCTGTTTAACTGAGATACGAGATGTAAATGTTCCTTTTTAAGTGGTTTGAGAAGCTAAAGTAGACCGAGCATCTGAGCACAAGCTGCAAAGGCAGAGAAATAAGTTCTCTTCCTCGCTAGGTGACCTTTGCTTCTTCCATAACTTTGCATTGTCTGAGTTTCCACGTCATAAAATGATTTTTACTTACTTATCTCCCAGCAGGGAGTGAGGATTAATTATTTAGCTTTTATAAAGCAACTTGAAGTTTAAAAACACTAAATATAAGCTACATATTTATTGGAAAAATACTAGATTGTAAGCTGCTCAGGGTAGGAACCTTGACTCTTTACATGTCAAAGAAACAAACACATAAAATAGGCAGCATAGAAATAAATATGATTGAAAATAAATGACTCAATGCACTAAACATGTGGCTATCTTGTCGATAAATTGGTTTTGAATGAATAACCCTGCTGATACGTGTGACACTAGTTTTGAGTCTAGGCGAGTGAGTGTGGACAGCTGCAGCTGTCTGTACACATAATTACAGCATTATGCCAGAGAATTCTGCCTAAGTGCCCAATATTGTAATAGCTGCGACATGAGGTTATGTTATTTGTTATTAAAACAGTATTGTCTGTTGGTAAGTGTTGGAGACTGGCAGTCAGCACTCTCCAGTTCTCTAACTAGTGATACTTGATTCACTTTGTGCTTGACTGTAGGCAATTCACTTAATCTCTGTGTGTTGGGGGTAAGAGAGAGGCTGTGGGGGGCAGCTCTAAGCAGGAGGGAGGCAGGAGAGGGGCGGGGGCGGGGAGGCTCCGTGCAGGAGGGAAGGAGGGGGCCGGAGAATGGGGGGGTGGGGGAGGCTTCACACAGGGGAAATGTGCTGACCTACTCAC